GTCCGCCACAAATATTGAAGTCGTAATATCACTAGAAAAGCGTTTAAAGCACATAAAATCATATTAAAATATATACATTTACAAGTATGTACTGTACTGTATTTACAGTACATGCATTCGTAAATTTATATTACTTTTTTCTGTACTATATTAAAAACTAAAATTTATTTGTTTGTAAGCTTAAAATAGATCCTTATTAACCATATATTATTAAAAATGCATTAATAAATAAAATACAGAACCAGGAATGGTAATTTATGGTTTAGCCTAGTGACAAGTAGATTCGGAGACAAGTAAATTCAACTTATGTCGCTTTCCTGGAACCAATTACTGACGTAAGGCGAGGTATACCTGTATACAATTATTATCCAAATTTTTCAAATCAAAACTAAATACACAAATTTTTTCCGCAAGAACTATTACTTGTCCATATTGGTTTGTGAAATAAAAATGTCTTATTGTCAGACATCTTTATTTCACAAAAATTTATTTCTAATTATCTAAATATGTTTTGGAATCATTTATTTCCTCTTCAGTATGGCTAGTAAAATACATAACTTTTTGTTAATGCATTTATTAATAAAAAGTTATGTATTTTACTAGCTACACTGAAGAGGTGATAAATGATCCCAAAATGTACCTGTGAGTATTAAATGGCATTTTGTGAAATAAAAACATTTGATAAGCCAAACTAATATAAATTAATATTAGTTCTTGCAGAAAAAATTAGTAAATTACAACAATGTTTCAAGACTGACTACTAGAACTAAGTAATATAATTGTTTATACAGTAGAACCTCGAAAACTCGGCCCTCGATAACCCGGCACTCCGGATAACTCGACCACACCCTGGCAGGGCAAAAAACTCCTTAGTTAATTAATTTTCATTATAGACAGCTTTATAAAAGTATAAAAGCTCTCATAAAGTATTTTTCTGAGGTCTGTCTTATCAGGTAAATTACTGTACACAGTGTATTCATTAATTTTCATTTTCATGTAGTAAAGTACGTAGCCTTCATAAAGTACGTAGTTTTCCTTTGTTTAAGGGTATTTGGGCAGTTTATTCTCTGTTATATTCTCAAGTAAACAATACATACAAGTACAGTACAGTATTTTCTGAGGAAACACTCGTACTTATTTTTTTTAACCCCATTCCCGATAACCCGGCATTTTCACAAACTCGGCCACCCTTCGGTCCACATTAGGCTGAGTTTTCGAGGTTCTACTGTATAAGATGATGATTGACTAAAACAAACCTGATCAACTCTGTTTCGATAGTTCTCTGTAATGTTTTCTAATGATTTAATATGTTCACTTTGTACAGATGAAACACTGGATTTATCATCTTCATATGAACTGACAACCCTTTTGTAACTATCTAGTTCCTAATATAAATAAAAATTTTTAAATGCATATTATACATATAAAACTTCCAAACGATCGCCTGAATAACGGGCTATAATATGGCTACTTAAAATGATTAGAACCAAAGCAATTTGTCATAAGAGGTAAGCGTTAGGCGCCATCTCGTAACTAAATTAATAATTAAATAAATATAATTAATTAAATTAAATTAAATTTAGAACCTTCTGGAATAAAAGAACTGGCCCGGGACGGGGCTCGAACCCGCAACCTCCGCTTACCGTGCGGTGCGCTACCAGTTACGCCACCCGGACCCCGAGCAAGCCTTCGCTTCCAGAAGTATATATAATAGATTAGATATAACCTTACTTGGTTAAATACATCACTGACTGGGGGCGACTTCATCGCCCACGACCCTCAATGGCACTCAGCCAGCTAACGTAACACCCGGCGAGGTATATATATATAAATAACATCAACATAAAGCCCGATTGGTATACATATAAAACTTCCAAACGATCGCCTGAATAACGGGCTATAATATGGCTACTTAAAATGATTAGAACCAAAGCAATTTGTCATTTTAAGTAGCCATATTATAGCCCGTTATTCAGGCGATCGTTTGGAAGTTTTATATGTATACCAATCGGGCTTTATGTTGATGTTATTTATGCATATTATACATATATAAGTCATTTTTAATATAAATACACAGGCATCCCTTTTCAACGGCAATTTTTCCAACTGTGTAATTTTTATCAAAATATGAATTAATGAAAATATTACAAAACATTTTAATAATAATGTATTATTATTTAATACTTTGATTACTCATAAATTATAGTGTATTTTAAATCAAAACAAAAATTGACATGTGTTCTTTTATAGGTAAAAATTTATTTGTAATTAAATGCCAAAAACAATATTCTTTTTATTTACTTTCACTGAAAGTATACAATTATACAGATAATATCGTGAAAATCAAATCAGTTGCAGAACATACCTTAAACTTTACATTAGGATCAGAAGCATTGTTGATGCCTTACAAATTGTTAGGATAGAGAATCAATCTCACAGAATTCAGTCTACAAAAAAATTTAAAAATTAAACGACCAATTATTTATTGTGACATTGTCACAATGCCGAGCTGAAATTTTTAATCATATTTTTAATTTATTTAATTTAAAATATACGCTCTCCATCTCAAATTAGTACTGTAGTGTCTTGCCTCTGTACATCATACTTCTCTGTTAGCAATGGAGTCATGCCAGTCATCTATTAACTACAATTCAGGGGAAGTTTTGAATTGACTTCTGGTTTGTATTGGAAGTTTATATATAATTAATCAGGGCCTCCTGCCCCTAAGATTTTCATATCAGATCTCGTATTTCATTTGTCTAACTCCATTCTCAAGATAAAGGAAAAACAGACGAATGGACAACAGTTGGAACTTATAGATCTACAATTTTTTCAAATTGCAGTCCAATTAAAGTTCAAAGCATCAAACATGGAATGAGAAGAATGGAAGCACAAGAAAAAATATTTGAATCAGAAATTCGAAGGAACAAATGTTTTTGTTTTAGAATGTCAAAATGAAACATTTCTGAAGAAAGTTCAAACTGGATGACAGAGTTGCATTGTCAGGTATTGAGAATGGAAAAAAAAAAATGTTTTTCTTCTGACCAAAGAATTTTGTAAAATTCTAGTGAGTTTAATAATAACACCAAGAAGTGTTGAATTGAAGATTGGGTGTAATAAACCCAATATTCAGATAAATTATGGAACTATTTGGGAAAGAATTGTAGCAGTGACTTTGTATGTGTACCTCAAAATTACTGTAATTTCTTGTATGTATTATTGTGGTAAACCTACAGAGAAGTAAATAAATTTTTGTCTTGTGTTTCCATCACATCAGTGACTGAACTTTTTTTATTTTTGTTTGTTCAAAAACACAACTTAAATAAATTAATATGCATCAATGTCCTTAATTTAAACAAGTTATTCTTTCAATCACCATAACAGTGTATTTCTATTAATAGTCATTCTTCCCATAACTTTTTATTAACTATAAAGTTTGTTTAGCCTACTGTAGTTTTACCAACCGCATCATATCCTTTATAGCATAAAAGTAATTGTAGTTGGTAAGGGATGACTGTAAAATCATATCAAGATTAATTTTGTTTAAAACTATTTACATCTTTTCTGTCTTAAAATACTTATTCATTAATAAGATTTGGTGTAAGTTATATATTGTATTTTATATTCTGGAATATTAAATTCTTAACTTATAATTCTTAACTTAACTTTAAATTCTTAAATTGTATATAATATTGGGTTGTTCGGAAAGTAATTTCGTTTTTTTTCCATGGAAAAAAACACAATATTTTTATAATAAATAAATATTTTATTGAATTATATATCAACCATTTTGGTCAAATACCTGTTGTTATCATTTCTGGTAGTAGCATAATTTCACATTCATAAAAGTTTTGATCATTGCTTACAAAAAACTGATCCAAGTGATTTTTGACATTGTCATTTCAAGTAAATGTCTTACAGTTAAAAAAAATTTGTATAGACCGGAACAAGTAATAATCTGAGTGTGCTCGATCTGGCGAATATGGTTGGTGTGATAGCACGTCCCATCTAAGTTATAACAGTTTCTGACGAGTTACCAAACTTGTGTGAAATTTGACATTATCGTGGTAAAACACTACACCTGTTTTGTTGATCAATTCTGGCCCCTTTTCTGTTTGATGATATTACTCAATTTGTTTACTCGATGGCAGTATACTTTTGAATCAATTGTTAAATTGTCTGGTAAAAGCTCCAAAAAAAAAATTTCCTTAAAATTCCACCAAAGGGAGCATCTCTCTTTAAGAACATGTGGAACCCATATATCGAGCTTTGAAACGAAACCAATTTGTTTCAAGTAATCATAAACAGTTCAATTTGACAAATTTAATCTCTTAGTGATTTAGTGATTTCACGTGTTGTTATTTGGCAGCTTTCTTCAATCAGTACCTTTATTTTGTTTTCATTGGCTTCAACTGGCCATCCAGAACATGGTGCATCTTCAATATTGAAATTGCCAGAACAAAATTTTGTAAACCAGTTTTGGCACTGTTTTTCTCTCAACACATCTTCTCCATACACGTCACACAATTTTTTTCTCACTTGAACAGCATTCTTACCTTTTTGGTAATAAAGAGCAAAATATGCCAAAAATGCTGCTTTCTATCTTCCATATTTGATGGGACACAAAAAATAAACAATTACACAAAATCAAACAAAATTTTTTACAAATAAGCCTTAAGCTGTCAAAATATATAATGATAATACGGTTTAGAATGAAAATGGCAGGAAAAATACGACTAATCCATGTAATGGTAAAAAAGCGAACTTACTTTCCGAACAACCTAATATATATATTAACTGAAGTAAAGACAAATGTTTGCATTTCTTTTTGTAATTAATTTTATAACTTCAATCTTAAAAAGAATGATTTTAAATATAAATAATGATATTAAATTAAATATAAATAAAAAATATAATCATCAAAAAATGTGCAGTTCATTTTTTACTAAACAAATTTTTTATTACTTATTTGATTAAAAAATTTTATTTATAAAATTAGATTAACACACAAAAACCAACCTTACTAACAAGAAGAACCTTTTTTTGTAGTCGTCTATAGAGTGTTGCCTGATCAATACCATGCTTTTTTTCACGTTGCAATTCTGTAGTCAAAGAAGCAACTTTACTTGATAGCTTTTGATTAGATGTCTCTAGAACACTTATACTATTGAAAAAGTGCATTAATTAGTAACAATAACTTAAAAACGATTCTATTTCTATGAAATATATAAACATAAAAGATAAATTCAGATATTTTTACATTTATTATCAGCAGTTACCATTTATTGTTAAAAAAATGATCATACAGATTCGTCTAAATAAGTTTCGTTTAACATGGAAACACTTGTGTATTGATCTACATTCACCGGAAATGTGTCTGTTTTGTAAGAAGGGAAATGCGTCTTTAAATCACTACATGTTTGACTGTGAAGATTTTGAATATTTGCATCTATCAATGCTTCTTAATAATGTTTTAGTGCTAATAATGTTGTTTGTAAAGATCCAGCAGATAGAATTCATGGATTATTCTCCATCAACGACTCAGTTGAATCTACATGGTGTAAATATATTTTATTGACCAAAGTTATTAATGTTACCCCTCCTCCTAAAAATTAATTTTATGTATGGAGTTTTCAAATAAATAAAATAATAAAATAAATTCAGATATTTTTATTATTGAAATTAAATTCATTATTACATACTGAAATACTAAAAACATTAAATTAGTTATTAATTTTTAGAGTTATATTTTAACAAAATTAGTCACATTATTTACATTTAAAAATAAGAAGTTTATAAACTGTTGCATTTTATTTTTATATCATATTTTAGATAGAACATTTAATATATATTTATGCAATTTATTACTTATCTGCTATAAAATATCTTGGGATTTTCAGTTTGATTTAGTACTGAGTGACTGTGACAAAATGGTTTCAGTCATTTTAATAGTTATTTAATANCATCTAAAATAGTAGAGTAGAAGCCGTTTTTCCGGTTAAGACTTAATCCTCTCCCTCTCCCCCCCGCGTTGGAATTTCGAAAAATCCTTTCTTAGTGTGCGTTTCCATGACGTACCCTAACTGTCTACCAAATTTCACCTCTTTAGGTTAAGCGGTTTGCTCTGGGCGATGATGAATCAGTGAATGAATGAATGAGTCAGTCAGGACAAGCAATTTTATATATTTAGATTTTAGATAGAACATTTAATATATATTTATGCAATTTATTACTTATCTGCTATAAAATATCTTGGGATTTTCAGTTTGATTTAGTACTGAGTGACTGTGACAAAATGGTTTCAGTCATTTTAATAGTTATTTAATAGCTTTTGTTTTTTTCTTTGGGTGTATATTAAATTCTGTATATATTAGGGTTTATTTTAAATTTTTAGCTATTTACTTGTACTATTTAATCATACTTTGGTAAAAGTTAGTTATAAAGTTTTTTCAATATATTCTTTGATTAAATTAATTTTTTTCATTTATTCTTATGTTTTTCCTATGTAATGAATAAGCATCTAGTATTAAATAAAAACAAAATGTATGCAGTTTATCTACTAAAAACATTTTCATAGTAGACTTACAGAATATAAGATTTAACTGTCAGAATTATATTAATTCTAGACAATTTAAATCTAAAAATAAATTAGCTGCAAATTGATGTTTTTCTTTAACCCATCAACAATAAAAATAATATTTTGAATTTCCATTCTAATCTACATTAAAATACAGTAAGTGCTGGTTTTATATCAACATATAAATTATATAAGTACAAAACTTTAGCTTATTGTAATCAAAAATTTGATTGAATTTATTTAGATTGTTAGTAATAAACTTAAGTTATCAGTAAACAACATAAGCTTGAATTTACTTAAATGGTTAATAACAGTCAATTGACAAAACAGTTTAATTAAATCATGCAATCACATCAGATTTAACTTAATAAACCACTAATATGTCATAAAAAAAAATTTAGCTAAAAATATGGAAAATAATAATTTTATTCAAATGGAGAAAATGAAAGAACATTGTATACAGATGTAATCAGGGTGAGGAGAAAAGTTCTGATTCTGTGTCACCTGAATTGTGGCTAAAGACAGAATGACCAAAAGTTATTGCTGCTCATTCACTGAGGAATATCTAAAATACAGATGAAACAGCATTTTATTTTTGCATAATATCTGATCATGACCATACTTATATGTTTAAATATAAAAAATTCTAAAGGATTTAAATCACTAAAGCAATGTACAACTATTACACTTTACTGTGCTAATATACAAAGCTAGAGACAGACACATCTAGTGATTGAAAAATGTAAAAATACTAGATGTGTTAATGGTGAAAACATTTACTAATAGATTACTGTTCAAATGCAAATGCCTAGATGAAAACTAACATTTTTAATAACTAGTTAGTTAAATAGAAGATAACCTTGAAATGAAAAATTGTTTTGTCAGTAGACAATTGTACAGAACATTCACATGATAACGATGTTATTAAAAAACATTAAAATAATATTCCTTCCTGTTAATACATCACCATTAATTCAGCCATGCAACCTAGGAATCATATCTAACTTAAAGACAAACTATAGAAATGAAATATAAGCAAGAATTTTAGAACTAGATGATAGTCAAAGATAACCTTTTATAAAAGTTTAATATTGATGATAATTTGAATTACATTTAAACTGTTTTTCATACATAAAAGTTATTATATAATTCAGATATGTAATTTTACTTACTCTGCTTTTAATTTTCCTATTGTATCCATCAAGATTGCTTCATTCTTTTGAAATTCATTCCATCTTTTTGACAAAACAGAAGGTGATCTAGAATAAACATAAAAATTAATTTGGAAATATAACTTATCATCAGTATTAATCCTTTAAATAATATAATGTTTTTTTTTTATATTTCCAAATTCATAATTATAAACAAAATTGTTTAATATAAAAGTTGTTTCTAATAGAAAATCAAGATATTTAGGAGTTAACTTTCATTTTAAGTTAAAAGCTTTATTTATCAACAGTATTTTAACTATGTAATTAATATAATGATATTATGTAGTAAATAATAAATTAAGATTTGTAATAAAATTAAATATTTCAATGAATATGTCAATTAATTTATAAAAAAAAATATTTTATGACTTTGTTCTTGCATTTTAATAAGTTTTTTAAAATAAACATTTAGAAGTATAATATATACTTCTGAACTCAATAAAAAATTAGGATAACAATATTAATTAAAATAATTAATGATTTACAGTATTTTAATTACAAAAATTATCATCTTATCTTAATTATAATTCTTTATTAAATACAGTAATACCTCGACTTACGCGAACCCGGAGTTACACGATTTTCAAATCTCGTCGATTCATCTTTTGTTTGAGCACCATGCAACTCTTGATTACTCATTCCCCCCACACTATTGTTCAGCTTACATGTTTGGACGTGTCACGCAGAATCGACACATAGCTACAATTTATTTTGTGTTATTTATTTCTGTATTTGTTACATCTATGAAGACTTGAGAGACTCTATGTGATGATTTCTTGTAACCATGAACGAATCAAAAGACGAGATAAGATTAACGAGAACATTTATTAGCTTACATACATCCGACTTGGATTTTACACAAATTGCAAAATTATACCCCAACTTACGCAAATTCTGACTTACGCGGTTATCGCTTGGTCCCACCTATCACTCAAGTTCGGGGTATTACTGTATATAGTAAAAAATATTATTCTAAATATTGTTAAATGAAAACATCTCTTCAGTTCAAAAAAGAAATTGTAACCTCTTTATATGATTAATTCATAATAAAATCACCATTTATTTGATATTTCCTATCTTAAAAAAATTATGATTACATAGACTTATTAAATTGTATTTATTGAGAAATGTAGCATGGTAGTTGATTATCAAGCATGTATGGGACCAGAGTGGGGCTGGATTATGAGACATTTCTGTATTTTCACAAAATTCAATACATTATATATGATCTGAATGTTAGACATTGTGCATTTTATATCCATATTTATCATATATATATATATATATATTGTGCACACTATTGAATGTTTCTAGTTTCTTTAAGTGTGCTTTTTATCAGTATGAAAATGATACAGTGCATGATTATACTATGTTAAGATTGATTGAAAAGCCTACAGAAACATTAATGAACAAACATGAACACATACTCCTGTAGGTTATAGTACAAAATCAATATTCAATATTTCATGTGCACATAATATTTATTCTCCTAATAGCCAGATAATTAAAGTGTCAGTCTATAGCTCTAAAGTATCTAAAACTGAATCCAGAAAGTTTGCATGCATTCCCAGAAAGTTTTCATGGATGTTCTATCCTGATTATGTTGAGTCATTCCTCACCATTTGGTGCCCTGTCATGTGCCTAGCTGAACCCATAATTAGTCTGGATATAAAGACCCTCTTAATGCACAGAGCAGAAAGAGTTAATAAACCAGCAATGGGTTGCTCAACTTTCTCGTCAACATTTAAAATTTTTGTGGTGCCATCTGTTGTCATGTTTTATTTAGAAACTTGTTATAATTTTAACTATTATAAAACATCAAAAACCTTAATTTGGGGGGTAGGGATGAGTTTTATAAAAAACTGTAAATGCTAATGAGTAAAATCGTAATTAAGTCCAACCCTACTGGAAATACACACAACCCCCATTATCTCCCCACTCCTCAATCTTTAACCACCAAAATTTAATAGTATCAATCCCACTAATAAACAAGCCTCCCTGCAAAATTTCAGAAATTTTCAACAAAAATCACGGGAGTTATTAAGTTTCAAACAGAGTGAACAAAATCATGCCATACACACAAACATCCATACATACAGAAATTACCCCTGAATTTTTTTGCATTTATTGATGTTTCAATGTGTCCTAAGTACAAAAATATAAAAATCTGGGGGGGTATTTTTTGCCGGATTACCATACTTCCAGATACCATACCAGAAAGTGAAAATGAAAAAAATATAAATATTATCCCAGCCATATACTGTATAGATGCAATTCAAAAAAGCTACACATGCTCCAGTATGATAAACCTATTTTTAGGTGTCTTGCCTTTGCATTGGCCTAAGAGAAAAAAAATACATCATTCATACATTTCTGAACATAAAATACATATGCTAGCTCTAATGAAGTAATGTTTGTTCAGCAAATACAACTCTTTTTTCATTTTGCACAATAATGTCAAAAAATATAATCAGTGGTATCAATGTATGACACAAGCCACATATATCATGGATGGTAATATCAAGAATGATGCTGGCAACTTGACGTTACTCATTACGCATCATATATTCCTCACAGGCAATAAAACTGATTTTGAAAAACTAACAATACATGTTGCAACTATTTAAAAAAATTATTTTTAATTAATTGCATCATTAGCTACTTTCCATCATTTTTTTTTGTACATATGCTATATTACAGTAGAGCGTCAATTATCTGAATGCCAATCAACCAAAACATTGGTTAACCGAAAGTGTTCCAGTAGGACTGTGTCATGCTGAATCGAACTTTAGATTAACTTCTAAAGTATAATTTTTTTGTTTTTATATTTTTGAATATATTTATTTTGTTTGTACAAAATAAAAAAATAATTTTTAACGATACAAATAGCCACGATTATTATTATAAAAATTTTTATTAGGCTTAACATTGACAAAAATTCAAAGCAAAGCACACGCAACAGAGAAAAATTTAAACATGGGATATATTAATATACTATTATTGGGATATACTAATATACTATATTAATAATGTATTTTTTTGTACATAATCAGTAATCCAAAAAATCGATTTTCCGAACAACCTCAGTCCCCAATTGATTTGGATAATTGACACTATACTGTATTTCACATTTTATTTATTTTATACAGTATTTATTTACTCTATATAGTTTTTCTGTCCACAATATTTGTCATCTAATGGAATTTTGAACTAATGCTACATGAAGGTAAAAAATTATAAATATCATGAAATATATTATTAAATATTTTTTGTAATTTCAAAAACTGCACTTTAGTTTTCATTATACATTTATATTTTCTATATTTTTTTAAAAATTATTAGAATTATTATTTTTTAATTCTTAATATATTATTTTTATTTCATGCTAAAAATTATAAACAATTTTGGATATAAAGCTGTCTATTATCAAGTCATAAAATAATGTTTTCTAATTGATTATATTTACCAGAACAAAGATTATAAATTTTTATATCTGAAATTCTAATCAATTTAATTAAATTAAAGTATAATAATGAGATTATTAAAAATATTTATAATTACATGTGATTTACATAAAGTTCATTCAATTTAATACTTACTAAAAACTAACAATCAGATTAATTCAAGATATTAATATAACTCAATACCTTTGTACATTTCCATTTCCATCAGACATTAGTGATTCCCATTCAGAGAGTTTTTGTTTTAATGCTTCATGTTCTAGTTCAAGTTGTGGTAAAGATGCATTTTTCTGCTGAAGATATTCTAAACGTTTTTGAGCAGATTGAAGTTGTTCTTTCAATAATAAATAATTCTTACAACTTTCTCTGTAAAATAAAATTATTTTTAGAATATATTATGTTTATATAAATTATTTTAATTATATAACAAAATTTACTTCATAAATTTATTTTCTTCTTTTAATTTAAAATTTTCTTTTTTAAGGTCAGGTAATGCTTTGAGTTCTTCTTGTTTAACTTGAACAATAATTGCAGCATCTTCATTAGATGCTATTTCATTTTCTAATTCCTAAATTTTTTCAGAATTAGTAATATGCTTATAAATATTTAATGTGTAAAATATAAAAATATATCTGTATTCAATATGTAAAAAGGAGCTACTTACAGTTACTCTTTGTTGAAGCTTTTTTAAAAGTGTTTTGAGATTTTCACTTTCTTGAATAGTTTTTGATTGCTCCTGTGTTTGTCTAAATAAATAATAAATTAAACATTAAATTTCAAATGATTAAAATATGAAACAAGTAAAATGCAAAGCCATTTTTGGGACGAGACTATGTCTTGGAGAGCACAAGCAACATATGCACAAATCTCAAACTCGCACCTGTTTGTAGAAACAGTGTCAGCATTTTGTATTTTCTTTTGACCCAGTTTTTAGTCCCCTGACTACCTACAAGTCTGGTTTATTTTATGTGCATGCGCATATAAAATAAACCAGAGTTGATTTGGGCATCAAGTACTCTGTGCCAAATTGCAACTCCTGACATGTACTCCTTCATACCTCTAAGGTGTGCAGCCATTGACAGCAGCGCAATTTTAGATACAAGTCTCGTCAAAAATGCTAAAAATAAGGAAATAGTTACTTTAACAACAACTGTATTTGATCTTTATTTTGTTCTGTTTCTTTCTTTTTTAACTTCAGTTCAGACTGTAATCTAAAAATAATTTTTAAATAAATGAAAATCATAAAAACAAATTCTTCATTGTTTGATTTCTAGATAAATCTGATTACAAAAAATTATATTATTATTGATAAAGTAAAATTTCAGCTAAACTAAACTTTATAACTAACTATAACTAAAAATAGTTTATAATTTATTATAATTCTCAAGCTTATTTATAAAAGAGGGGAATACAGAATCTCAATATTGAGAGCAAAAATAAAATCTGAGTTTATATTAAATATTACAAGTTGCCAAACATTTATAATTAATTATTAAAATTTAAAAATTTCAAATCAAAATACTATATTTATTTACCTTTTAATTTCAGCAGTAAGATCCTGAGCTATCTTTTTTTCACTAGATTTTGCCTATAAAAAAATCATTGATATAAAGAAATTATGATAAAAAAATTATTCTTATTTCATTGTTTACAAAATTTAAAAGATAAAGCACTTAATATTACTTCTTCTAAATCTAACTGCAATTTTTGACATTTCTGTTGCAAAGTTTTAATTTGTTGCTCATAATTCTCTTGATATGTATCCATTTGTTCCTTCATTTGGGAAAACTCTGCATGAAAGTCTTTTTCTTCTTCTTTTAGAAGCTGAAGTTGATTCTGAAGTTCAACTATACGTTCTTCTTTAATCTAATAATAATAAAGCATTACAAAAATTACTTATTTCTAAATTTTAAAATTTTATTAATAAATGTATATTAAGTTTCAAACAGAGTGAACAAAATCATGCCATACACACAAACATCCATACATACAGAAATTACCCCTGAATTTTTTTGCATTTATTGATGNTTTCACCCAAATGAATTTGAATATTTTTGATTCATTCCTTTATTATCCCACTCTAAATAAGTACTCTATTTTTCTAAAAGAGCCAGACTAATTGATCAGAGTATATATTTTTCTTTTCTGAATAAGAGGCTGAAGTAGCTAGATTGTACACTTTTTAGTTAGACTAACTTTTCTGGAAAGGTGAAATTGAAGTGCAAAAGCTGTAGAATAAAGATATGTAGATGTAGAATTTTATCACTCCCTTTTTCCTCTTATTAAATATTTGTATTGTTAAAAATTAACGTTTTTATACAAATAAATATTAAAAATACTAATTATAAAAGTATTTGGGTAAATGCCCAGGGCTTCTTTTAGAGTTCAGAGTAGGGTATGAGTGCTTCTGCCCCCCATAAAATGACTTGGTATTTAATTTTGCCAGTCAGGAGTTGGAAGTCAGCCTACTAAAATTATCAGGAGTTGGAGTTGAGTGTTTTTTTACCAACTCTGCAGCCCTGGTTCTAAAACAATTTGTTATAAATATTTGATACATTAACATACACGAAGAAAATGATTCAAACACATATTATAAATCAAAATTTGTTTACTTCCTTATATTTAAAAGTGTTGCATCAATAAAGCTTAAAAATATTAATTCAAAACTGCTTACAAAAAACTTTTAATTTAATTTTACAAATGGTATTATTCTTTGTTGTTATTTTAAAAATTAATATTTTCATGTCAGTCTGAAAAGTGTTTAACTTTTCAGACTGACATGAAAATATTAATTGCTAGAAATTAATTCCTAGTTATATCTTAAAAAAAGGAAAATTTCAATCATTGAATTAGTTCCTGTTGTTAGAATTTATTATTAATCTTCTAAATTATTCTAATTTCACAGTAAAGCAAAAGAAAAAAATTGATAAAAGGTATTGTATTAGATTAGAAGCAAGAGAGATGACTCTTTCTTCAGATATTTTTGTTAATTCTGATGTATTCCAGAATACTTGTGCATTATACATACAGCTAACTAAAATTCTTTATAAAAATTAATTAAAATCATTTATGAAGAATAGTGTGTAAAATTTAATGGAAAAAAATATAAATATAAAAAGAATCAACTATACAAAGTTTCAATTTTAAAGAAACTTTGCAGTTTCTAAGATATGCCAGATTTTAAATGAAATTAGAAAAACCATTCTATCCCAACAGAAATTATAGAGTAATTATTTAGTTTCCCAAAAATCTCGTACAACATACAAATATTGACATTATACTAAAGGAAATTTGATAGAGTTAAAATATTCTGAGCAATTTTATCAGATACAACATAGAATTAATCAATTTAATTAAATTTATAGTAATTTAAATATGTAATAAATGTTTAGAATTTCTCAATTGCAATTCTGATAGCCTGAATTCTTACATATTGACATTTCTGTCAATATAATACAGTAATACCCCGAATTTACGCGATAGGTGGGACCGAGCGATATCCGCGTAAGTTGAATTCGCATAAGTCGGGGTATAATTACCCAATTTGTGTAAAATTCAAGTCGGATGTATGTAAGCTAATAAATGTTCTCGTTAATTAATCTTATCTTGTCTTTTGATTCGTTTACGAAATCACCACATAGAGTCACCACATAGAGTTACAAGAAATCACCACACAGAGTCTCTCGAGTCTCCATAGATATAACAAACACAGAAATAAATAACACAAAATAAATTGTAGCTATGTGTCGATTCCGCGCAACACGTCCGAACATGTAAGCTGAACAATAGTGTGGGGGGAGTGAATAATCAAGAGTTGCATGGCGCTCAAACAAAAGACGAATCGACAAGATTTGAAAATCACGTAACTCCAGGTTCACGTAAGTCGGGGTAGCATAAGTCAAGGTATTAATGTAAAATAATTTCTTACCAAATGAAAATGTAATGACAACTCGTTTTTTACTTACTTCGCATTGTTGCTTGCAAAGTTCTAGTTCTTTCTCTAATTCAACACACAAATGCTTGCTACTTGGCTCTAAAGATTGCATTGAAGATTTCAGATGACTAATGGTTGCATGACTGTGCTGAATCTCTGCTTCTTTTTCCAAAAGTTTTCTTTTCAATTTTGAAACTAAGAAATTAATAAAAATTAATTATAAATACAGTAACTATGTAAAATAATAATATCATCTATAAAAAATTATTATCCTCAACAGGATAATTCCGAAAAAATACTGTGATTTTACATATCCACTATAAGCAAAGTAACTTAATACCAATGAGGAAGTCTAACCTGTACTAACAAAGAGACAGCCAGACATTCAGATCTCTGATTTGATCGAAATCTAAACACAAACAGCTCCTTGTCCAAATAACAGGACCCACTTCTCACGCATTTCCGAAAAATGAATCTCTGAAAATTGAGTGTTTAGCTTGTAAGTCTGAAAGTTTCTCTTCATGTAACGACGATGGCAGAGTGGATAAGATGCTAGCCACTATAGCTACTTAAGGTTTGAAACTTTGCAATTTCTGTTGTTTTTTTTATGTGTAACAAAATTATTTTACCATATCAATTTGCATTATTATTACAATTATTATTCCTCACATTTAAATCTTATAACACAAGAAATTAAAAACATGTGATGTCATTTCCTGTTTAACAAAAGCCTCTAGATTTAATTCTTGTATCTTGTTAAATAAAATTTTTATTTCTTCATATTTATTTTCAGATTTGTGGTATTGTTATATTTGAAGTGTAACAAACATGAGTGCATGAGGAAATTGTCCATAACATTAAAAATTAAAAAAAACATTGCAACTATGCCACCCTATTTTCATATCAGCCTTCTCTTTTTTTGTCTAACTGCAGTACAGTCTGAAGCTTATTTGCTTATGCTGACATAGCATGTGTTGTCTTACGCACATGGAGAGAGATGGTTTTTCACAAAGAGACAGGAATTAAAACAGGTGCTTTAATTTTTCTTGTAGTAACTAATACAAGAAAGGTTTGTACAGATTCCGACCTCCTGATTCCAAAATTCAAAAAAATACACCTGTTTCGATACACAGCAGAACAAGAACTCTCGCGATACAAAATTTTCTTATTATCTAACTTAAATCTACTTATTCTAAAGATATAAGAAAAAAAAGGGGGGGATAGAATATGAGAGAGACAGAAATATATTCTCTAGAAGAAACGGGTACCCGGATTGGCGATCGATGTGGAGCGGTTGGATGACATTGTCTTCGGATGTCTTTCGGGGACGGACCGTCTGTGTAAATCGATGAAAAAATGTCTGGGATCCTTAGTCTACCAATGTCCTTAATAATGATCTCCTTTCTTCAGATCTGTTCGTGACCCTTTTTCAGGTGGAGCAACACCGACCTGGAAACCTCTCTCAGATGTGTCTTTCCTCTTCTAGACCCAAAGCAAAAGTGGCCTTCTTGTCTCCTATTTGCCCTCTGGGCTCTTTCTTTTCATTGTCCCCTAACTAGGTCACCCTACCACCCACACTTGGAAGAAAGTTCCAGAAGTATAGACAAAGGAACACAGAACAAAAAGAAGGAAGGGAGAATAGAAAAACATATATATATATATATATATACAAAAATATAACAGAATACACTGGTGTACCACCACACATGTAATCACAAACAAAAATATGTGAAAATAAACTAATAAACTAAAGACTTATAAACTAAACACTCAATTTTCAGAGACCCATTTTTCAGAAATGCTTGAGAAGTCAGTCCTATTATTTGGATAAAAAGTTGTTTGTATTTAGGGCTTTGTGCTCACCAAGTTTTGTTTGAATCGGAGACCAGAATGTCTGGCCATCTCCTTGTATTAGAGTTACTCTAATATCCAGTACAGGTTAGACTTTCTCATTGGTATTACTTTGTTCAGCGTATCCATGCAAAATCAAAGCATTATAAATTACCTTCTATAATCAATATTATTTCTAACAATATAATTCAATATGTATATCTATGATTGAAGTTTAAAATTCATAAAATAGAGCAAGAAAAATATATTTTTAAAACTGTCATAAAATACATCATCTCATAATAATCAATAAATTAGGAATTTTTAATTTATATTTTAAATTATAACAACTTAAATATAATAAAGCAGTCTTGTAAATAACTTTTCTCATAAATTTTCCTCATAGAAATAATTTCTTGCAAATTTGTCTTTTAATGTGTCAACTCTAATGTGAAAAAAATATCAACTGCATGTCATTTGGGTTTAAAAAGTTAGAAATTTTTTCAATTTTCTAACAAAATTTTAAATATAAAAATAGATACTGTGGAGTTTGTGAAGTCCTGTGCATCTCTTGGAAGGTTAAGAATAATAGAATGTTAATAAACTTCACTTCTAATACTGGAGGTAATATAATTCTCTCCACTTGAATAAAAACCTTTCAATCTCCAGTGTTATTCTTCTTGACAAACGTTTTCAACCCTACCAGGGTCTTCTTCAGGCCACTGTTATAATAAATTCAAACAGTACAAAATCGAACAGGAACCGAATAAATGCGATTCAAATCCTAGAACGTCAACGTTAATGTCAAAAAAATATAGAACATCACGCTCTTGCTTCAATGACGTCAAAGCTTGCGTAATTTGCGCTTGTAATAAATCCATATTACATCCAATTATGGGTTGTTCCTTCATAGCAAAATTTCCATGCACTAGAGATGTTGACTGTGTCTTTGGAGTTAATACATGTGTTGTTTAATCCCGCTTTATAAATTTCTAAGGTCTCCATAATCCTTAGTTGGTCTACACGGTGTGATAGCCTAATTAGACGGGCATTCTGTAGATCAACTTTTATTCCAGGTTCTGTGGCTACGGTTGAAAGGGTGGTGGTGTGCTTATTATTATCTATATCATACTTATGCTCCTGGAGACGTTTACGAAGGGAGCGCTTGGTTGATCCCACATACACTAACCTATTATTAAATCTGTCATCCCAAAGGGGGATAGAATATACTCCCGGTGCGCATTTTAAGTCAAGCCTATCTTTCCCGTTCCGGAGTAAGCTGTAAATAGATCTTGGCCTACTGTACGCTATTTTATTATTAGTGCGGGAAGAGATTTCTCTGTATAACTTGTCCAGATAGTGGTTGTACTCAACTACTTTTCTTTTACTGTTTCCGTCAAGGTGAACATCTGGGTTGTCAGGAGTATTGCGCGCACTCATCTGTATATACTTTTGTGCTATATTATATACCAAGTTTTCACTGTATCCATGCTGCGTGGCCATTTCCTGGATGTGATCTAGCTCAGCTATGGTGTCATCCCATTCGGAATGGTGGGTGAATGTCCTCTTAGTCAACGCCCTAAATGCCGCTATCTTATAGGAGTAAGGGTCCTCTGAGTTGGCGGGGATGAACATTGGTACATAGCATTTTTTGTAATAGACTTTAAAAGAAATCCTATTGTTTATTAATTGAATGTTCAAGTCAAGAAAGTGTGCAGCTCTATTTTGGTCTATTTGAATGTATTATAACAGTGGCCTGAAGAAGACCCTGGTAGGGTTGAAAACATTTGCCAAGAAGAATAACACTGGAGATTGAAAGGTTTTTATTCAAGTGGAGAGAATAATAGAATGTTATTTCAATTTTGCTTAAATATGAAATTTTATAATTTCATATTGAGTACAAACTCATAACATCAAATTTCAAAGATGTGAAGAAATACAATAAAAAAAATTTTGGGTTTGGCAATTAAAATGTTTAATGGTTTAACACTTAGCTTTAGTAGTGTTTTAGTGTATTTTTGGATTTTATGGGTAAATTTGACATACAGGTCAGAAAGTGGCATGATTTATAAGGTTTTCATTCTTGGACATATGAGTTTTATAAAATTTCCTAATATTGAAAAATGCTTGATTAAGTATTTTTCAATGAAAAAGATGTTTGTTATACTACTTAATTGATATTTATAGCTCTGATCTTAAATTTACATATTTTAAATTGGCTTCTTTATACAATAAAGTATTTATGCACATAAAAATGTTACAGATTATATAAGAATAAATAAATATAGGAATAAAATTACAAAATAAAAATGTAATATAGTATAACAATGAACAAAGGAAATAGAATGTGAGCCAGAGCAAGTATAAGTCCATGTCCCAAGTGAATGTGGATAGTATGAAGCGAGTGGTATAATGCAAGCAATGTGGTAATTGTTCAGAATAAAATTGTAAGAAACAAATGAATACAGTAGACTCCCTATAACACTGTAGATAATTCCATGTTGTACGAGTCACTTAGATTTTACAAATACGTGAGCCATTCACACCCCGCATACGTATTTGTAAAATCTAAGTGACTCGTACAACATGGAATTCATATAACACGGAATTATCTAGTGTTATAGGAGGGGTCTACTGTATATCCAAATTAAGCACACAACACACATGATTGAAACAATGCTGCATTGCCAATCGCACACAACAGTTTGATTTTTTCTGTAGTCGTCGTCTAATTTTTGCAACAGAAGTATCAATTTCCGAAGTTCAAAAGAGAAACATCAAAGGTATCATTCTTGTGTATTGGCAAAATAACTTTTCATTTGTTAATAATTGAGAATTCAGGTGATGAAATTCACTATAATCAACCTGTCCCTATAAATCTTTTCTTTGTTACATCTCTTTTTTTTAATATTTCCATTTTCATTAAACTATTTTCCATTAGCAAAATGGAACTTACAGAACTTGATACCATTGTTAAACTCTGAAAGACTTTCCATTACTAATAAAATCATTCATATTACAGTAAGAAAATATACTGTAATTTGCCACCTCCACTATTCCCATAAATGCGGTGGCAGATTAAATACGGCACTTGCCTTACAGAAATAAATATAAGCTTATTAGTATCTACAAAAAGCATTTGCATGATAATTTCTAATATTTTCTTCAGTTTTTAAAAAATAATCCTGCTTTTGATACCTTCCCACTTAACTTTCACAATCACCAATTGTAAGAAGCCAACTTTTAGGGGAAATCTGTTAACTCCACGTCAGTGATGGTCTAGAGCAGTGGTCGGCAACCTGTGGCACGCAGGACGATTTTCAGTGGCACTTTGATTGAATAGAAATTAGTAAAAATTAAATTTAAATTATTAATTTTTGATGTCCATTATAACCAGACCAATTTTGATACTATATATAAACAAAATTGGTAGAATCATGGCAGCACACAGAATAACACTAACTCAGGTTTGTGTTACACCACCGAAAGGTTGCTGACCCTGAGTCTAGGGTCTGTTCATATGTGAGTGGGGTGGCAGAGGAGATAATGATGACAAGTGTTTAACAGTAAACCGTTTATTGGAGCTTAAGATAACTTACATAAGATCGATCTCAATTCGGTCTTGAGACAAGAAACAGTTGCGAGGCATGAGGCATGTTTGGAGATAAAAGTTCGCTCTAGGTGAAGAATGGCCGATGGCCCCGGGGCTACGACTGTGCAACGTCCGGCAGGAGCTTAGAGGAGCAGCACCAGTTAGTGATTTCAAACCATCGACTTGGGGTATCAAATTTACAATTGACGAAAAACTGTCTGTTGACCTCAAATTCAGGGGTTTTTCACTCTCCGTCTACCTTTTTGATTGGGTCTGTCCCTTGTCCCTTTTCTTGCTTCTCCATTAGTCCTTCTCCCGTCCCCAGGTGAAAAGTGAAACCTGCCCGGGTGGCAAGAGAGTTCAGATTCAGAGAGTCCATCTCATCCAATACCCTCAGACCAACTGGGAGGTGTTGACAAAACTTTGAAATCTGTGCTCATATTTTACTTCATTGCTGTCTTTTCCCTGACATTTTAGAATTTTAACAATCTGACACAATGTCCTTTCCCCCCATTTCCTAATTGCTTGTATACAGCATCCTGTCAAAGTCCCATCTCTCCCGTGGACATTCCGCTACGTCATTCATCTTTGCATTGCATTTGTTTTGACATTAATAGTTTTTCATCCTGTCTCTGTCTACTATAACTTGCATAACTGTCACAACCTTTGGTCTGATTTAACAACAGAAACAATTTTCTCGTCTTAGAAATTTTATAATTAATTTTAATTACGACACGTGATCTGAGAAATAATTTAGCTAATCCACTTTACACCAGAAAACATACAAATTACTTTAAAGTTCTACCAAAATCTACACCACTTAATTAATACTTTGATCAAACATTAACTGATTGATTTAAACAGCTCAATTACATAATAATGACAGACATGAAATTAGGTCGAACCTGTATCGGGAGTGGAAGGTTCTGAAGTGGTCGTATCCAAATCGCTGTTATCAAACTGAAGTTTCGGTAGGAATTCTTCTTGACGAAGAAAATTGGATTTGCGAGAAGGCGAACTAATAAAACTGGCGTAATCTCTCATCATACGGATCACTCCGATGTGACTCGTAGACGATGACATTTCCATATTTTAAAACAAAAAAATTCAACGATAATGTTTCTGTCCACGCATACGAACAAAACTAAACACGCTCCCGTACTTTCTTAAAATCTCACTAGAGGGCGTAAAAATAAAGAAATAAATAAATTTATTTACAGTATTTTAATTTGATAAATCAATAATTATATTTATTAATTCTTCTTTTAATTATACATAAATTTCTAAATTAAATTTTCATAATATATAGTATATATATACTGATACGGATCCGGCACACTTTTTTTTAAAACTCTTTCCGCCCTGTGGCACTAAGAGGGCCTCTTTTTTGAAGGCCCATTGTGGGTTCGGCCAGGCCCACAATGGGGCTGCCGGGTGGTGAGGGACGGGGCCCGACATATCTGAACGGACCACCCCCCCGAAAAATTCCTGGGGATTTTTTCGACCCGTTCGGGGATCCGGCACACTAATATTCCACGAATCGGGATTTGTTCGGACGCTTGGTCCGGAGGCTAAAATACTCAAGACAATAGAGAGGTTGCGGTGAAAGTTTTCATCTTTAAAACGTGAACGTCGAACGTCGAGCGCCGCTATCTTGTAAGTGGCGCTCGACGTTCGACGTTCACGTTTTAAAGATGAAAACTACGGCCGCAACCTCTCTAATAATGTGTCGATTATAGTTTTTGTAAGTTTTTCAATCGCTCTTAACGCGGTGTAATCGTGTAACGTACTGTACGTCTTTCGAACTGATTAAAAGAGCAAGCGTAAACATATTAGAAACATATAGAAACGTGCGCCGATACAAAATGTATAGAAATGCCTGTAACATTCAAATGGTACATAATTTATGGAATATTGTGAAAATACAAAAACTCCGGTAAGCTCGTATTTTCGATAATCTGGCATCGTCCTGGTGGAGCGGCAGTACGGATCCGGTAAAACCTCCAGGCCTCTGGTAGCACCTCTAACTACATCTACCCATCTTCCCGTCCCAACGATCCAACCGGATCCACCCTTGGTCCCAACGATCCAAACCGGATCCATGGGTTGAGATTTTTTTTCTATTTTTTTCTCTTCTCCACACTCTTCCACACACCGGAGCAGTGATTCTCAACCTTTTTTTCGTCACGGTACACTTTTAATAATTTAAAAATTTGGCGGTACTTCGGTAAGTATCGCAGAACAACTGGTGACATCATAACAATAATTTTTAAACGCGGTTGGCTATTTAGGTCACATTTTCTAAACGCCTTGGTAACTACCGGCAGTTACCGGTAACACCGGTTACAATTTCCAAACGCGCCCTAGGAAGGTAGAACCGATTGAACTACTTGTCTGGCATCGTACTTTAGTGTGCCGCAGCACAGTGGTTAAGAATCACTGTATCACTGCACTAGAGTAATATGCCCTTGCAAACAAAGAAATTTATTTAAAAAGGCTTGAGCCCCGTTGCTACAGCTCCGAAACGAGAGTGACGCCGGAACTACTGTACTATGCCCTTATATATTAAATGCTGTACAGTGATTGATTTCATATAAATTAATAATCATTATTTTAAAATACGAAAAATAAATTATATTTGCTATTGATACGATCTTTTTGATTTTATAATGTTTTATTTTTAATGCTGTATCTGCCAATAGGTGGCGTAATACGACAAATAGCAGACTATATTATTGTATGGAGGAGTAAATTCTACGGTTGCATGAATTAAAAATGGTAAAAACGTATTTCTAATCGTCTTGTTTACATTCAATTGTGATGTATTAATAATAATCGTATATTTGTAGTAAATTAAAATATTTTATATGATTCTATTTTGATGTCCATTATAACCAGACCAATTTTGATACTATATATAAACAAAATTGGTAGAATCATGGCAGCACACAGAATAACACTAACTCAGGTTTGTGTTACACCACCGAAAGGTTGCTGACCCTGAGNTTAATTTTTTTTTTTTTTAATTTGAATCATGAACATTTGTTTCTTCTCAATTTTACTGAAATTTGTAATTACTTTCTCCTATTTTCCTCATTTATTAACTATGTATAAATAATTATGTTATAATTTTGTTTTTAACCTCATACTTAACTAGCAAACATTTAAAATAGTTTTATTAATGTTAATTATTCCTACAGTTACTGTCTAGAACAAAACCTGCGGCCGGACCCGGAGTCGCACCCTCTATCGAATCACGTAGTAAATCCAAAGTGCCTAGTTTGGAAGACTTTCTAAAGAATAGAGATTTTACGGGAGCGATGACTTTATTGGAGGTAATATAAATTGTATTAATTAATATACTATACATACGGTGCACTGTTGCTAATCCAAATTTGTGCTAATATGAACTAAAAATCTGTTCATTTGCTGACAAATGTTTCGGCCAAAAATAAAAAGAAATATTTACAAAATTATATTTGTATTAAAAACATGATAAATTTGTAAAATTAATATGTACTACACATTTTATTATAAATGTATGTATTAAATATGGTATAAAAATTTTTAATATACAGGGTTGACCATAATTATGTTCGTGCCTATTTTATTTATAAGCAATCATGTCGAAATTCATGTACTGTACATTAAATTACATGATATTGCAAAATGTGTCTTGGCAAAGAATTTTGATTCTCACTTTATTTCAGTATGGCTACATGCAATGTCGACACATTTTCATACAGCATTTTGTTTCTTCAAAGATTTTTGACAATGTTTCTGGTGTCACAAGATGCTTAATCACCAAAATTCTGTCCATAAGCTCATGAATAGAGAGCAGTTTTGTCATATAAATGTGGTCTTTCACAAAATTCCAAAGGAAGAAATCCAAGGGAGCAATATTGAATGTTCTTTGACATATTTTTGAAGTAAACTGTGGTTAAAAAAAGGTACCAAATATGTATTTATTCAATGAAAGGGGAAAATATACATTTTTCATATACTTTTATGCAAATGGATAAAGTTCCAGTCATTATGACATCAGTATAGTAAGTACTTGATATGCCTACATATTTCCCAGTGTAGCTTGGAACAGAGATAAAAATAAAGGATTTTCATTTATTTCATGTATTCTATATTTAACATATTTTTTTTCTACAATAATTTGTAAACAATTGAAGAAATAAAAAATTTATTTTATTGTTACTAATTTTTTAAGCTATACTGAGTCCATGGAGTAAGAATAAACTAGTCATAGACATTTTAAATTTGCAGCAGGGATCTATGAATATGAAGGGTTGAGTGTATATAGAGAAAATTTTGTCATTGATAATATATTTTTTAATCTTATGTAAATTAATAAGCATTTTTATTAAATTAAACATTTTTATTTAAACATTATATATAATTAATTTTTCAGTTTGCAAAAAACAGTGGAAAGGGAAGTATAGAAAATGATTTATGGATTAGTTATTGTGCATTTCATTTAGGAGAATATAGACATGCTATGGAGGTATGTTTTTGGAATACTCATATTGGCAGAAACTGTGTTTTATTGATTAAATTATATAATAATTTATAAAAATAGTTTATTTTATCAATTTTAATGCATTTTTTTTTTAGATATATGAAAAAGTATTGAAAAAAGATAATGTGCCTCCTATTGTAAATATATACTTGGCATGTTGTTATTTTTATTTGGGAATGTATAAAGAAGCTGAAAATTTCGTTAAAAAAGGTATTTAATTAGCATNACTCAATCTCTAAATATTGAAAATATTAGAAGTTTTGAGATTATAAATTATTGTTATAGATTATAATTGTATTGAATTTTTACATTTATTAATATAATTTATGTAATTTATTGAATTAAATTGATATATTGCATTATTTATTTTATAGAGATTATCTTGCTCTTAATGTGTATGTTGCTCTTTGTTACTACAAACTTGATTATTATGATGTATCACAAGTATGTATAAATTAATTTATATGAATAATTTTGATTGATTTTTGTTATTTATTAAACAATTTTTTATTTTACATTTAAAAATTTAACTATTTGATTTATTATATTAAAATATAAAATTTTAAAGAATATTTCTAAAAATCAATTCACAATAAACCTTTGACCAGTAAAATATTTATTTGAAAAACAAACGTTTTCGACCGTATTCTTTGGCCTTCTTCAGGTTAAACGTTTCGAGATTCGAAAAACCATTGAAAACATAGCCACGCGACACGGATATGGGCCAAGATTAATTCAGAACCTTGCATTTGACTATTCATCGCAAGTATATAATAATGACAACAATGGCCCACGCACGAACAACTCCAACAATTTTCAGTCTTTTGCTGTTGTTGAATATAACCACCATCTTGATCCGATTTATAGAGAAATTGCTGCGTATACAAACAAGAGGATTGCATATAGGAGGCGTAGTACTATTTATAACATCATGCGCAACTGCTAAGACGACATAGACGAGATCTGCTCCGGGTGTATATTCTGACCCACTAAGAGACCATAGATTTCAAAGAGACCTGGTATATATTGGTTCCTTGATACGCTCTCTTGATAAGCGTATACGCGAACACAAATATGACATTGAGCATAACAGATGCACCACTGCCCTATCTACTTATGCTTCGACCCCAGGCATAAGTGCCGACTTACATAACGTGCGAATCATTAAACTTTCACACAGAAGGGAACACATAAGAATGCTAGAAACCTTGGAAATATATAAAGCGGGGTTACGAAATAACTGCATCAACTATAAAGACGTGAGTAATATTTCTACAGCTTGGACGTTTGTCGTTGATGGGGAAGACCCCCCACAACTCTAGTTAGGGTGTTACTAACATTTCATGTGCGTGAAAAATAAGATTATTTAGATAAGATTGTTTAAATATATTTTGCGTATGCAATGCTTGATACGCATGCTCATAATGAGTTGAATATGTTCCAAAACTTTTAAATCTGTAAGCACAACGGCTTTTCAAATCTCGAAACGTTTAACNAGAAACTGTGTTTTATTGATTAAATTATATAATAATTTATAAAAATAGTTTATTTTATCAATTTTAATGCATTTTTTTTTAGATATATGAAAAAGTATTGAAAAAAGATAATGTGCCTCCTATTGTAAATATATACTTGGCATGTTGTTATTTTTATTTGGGAATGTATAAAGAAGCTGAAAATTTCGTTAAAAAAGGTATTTAATTAGCATTTATAGTTTTTGTTATATTAATATCTGACTGAATTTCATTTGTAACTATATGAATTCTATATTATAGTTGTAATTATGTTAATAATACTTTAAATATTGATTTATATATAAGATTGTATTGACAGCTGGATGGCTGAGTAGTTAATGTATCAGATTAACATTCTGGGGACCCAGAATCTAATAGAATTAAAAACCCCAACAATGTTTTGGAGGTAATCTCTCCCAGATATGTCAGGCCTCAGTCCTCACTACCCAGCTGTTCCATTGTGGATCTGGCCAAACTTACAATGGGTATGATTAAAAAGGCCATCTTAGTATCCATAGGGCATTAGAATCTTTTTGCTTTTGTATAGTATTTGACAATAGATAGGAATTCTTCCTATTGTTAGATACTTAAGTTATGTATTTATCTTCTATTCTTCTTAAATCTGATGGGAATTTCTTTTTATAAATTCATTTTTTCAGCTTTTATTATAAAATTTTTTATATATGTTGTTATATAGATTTTTTGTACTTTGATATGGACATTTAGATATAAATAAATAATAAATTATGTTTTAATTCTGTAATTTTTCGAATTAAGTCTTTAGAGGTATAAAAACAAACTAAAATCTTTTTATCTGAAGGTCCAAGCTCTCAGTTACAGAATCGTTTATTATTTCATCTTGCTCATAAATTTGGAGAAGAAAAACAATTAATGACATATCATCAGCAACTCCAAGATATTACAGAAGATCAACTTTCTTTAGCATCTATACATTATCTACGATCTCATTATCAAGAAGCTATTGATATATATAAGCATATTTTATTGGATAACAGGTAATAAAAATGTCTATCATTAGAATCATGCAATAGAAACTACATAAAAGTCTACAAATATTTCATTTATATTTTATAAGAACATATAATCTTACAAAATAAGACTAAAATATTGACACAATTGCAAAAATTTCAATGATATGAATACAAATTCAATTTGCAAATTACAATTGCCTTGAAAAATGGCTGGACATATTGTTTCTTTCCAGAATTAATTCATGATCAAAAATAAGTGTGTTAAGAAATACTTTATAGCACTTCATATAAAAGTTCACTATAGTGGACTTTTAAGCATCTATATGAAAATTAGAGTTTTTATAATATATAATTTTATTATTATGAGTTTAATTAAAATTCTTTCTAGAAAATACTAAAGAAAGCATTTACTCAGTCTCTAAATATTGAAAATATTAGAAGTTTTGAGATTATAAATTATTGTTATAGATTATAATTGTATTGAATTTTTACATTTATTAATATAATTTATGTAATTTATTGAATTAAATTGATATATTGCATTATTTATTTTATAGAGATTATCTTGCTCTTAATGTGTATGTTGCTCTTTGTTACTACAAACTTGATTATTATGATGTATCACAAGTATGTATAAATTAATTTATATGAATAATTTTGATTGATTTTTGTTATTTATTAAACAATTTTTTATTTTACATTTAAAAATTTAACTATTTGATTTATTATATTAAAATATAAAATTTTAAAGAATATTTCTAAAAATCAATTCACAATAAACCTTTGACCAGTAAAATATTTATTTGAAAAACAAACGTTTTCGACCGTATTCTTTGGCCTTCTTCAGGTTAAACGTTTCGAGATTCGAAAAACCATTGAAAACATAGCCACGCGACACGGATATGGGCCAAGATTAATTCAGAACCTTGCATTTGACTATTCATCGCAAGTATATAATAATGACAACAATGGCCCACGCACGAACAACTCCAACAATTTTCAGTCTTTTGCTGTTGTTGAATATAACCACCATCTTGATCCGATTTATAGAGAAATTGCTGCGTATACAAACAAGAGGATTGCATATAGGAGGCGTAGTACTATTTATAACATCATGCGCAACTGCTAAGACGACATAGACGAGATCTGCTCCGGGTGTATATTCTGACCCACTAAGAGACCATAGATTTCAAAGAGACCTGGTATATATTGGTTCCTCGATATGCTCTCTTGATAAGCGTATACGCGAACACAAATATGACATTGAGCATAACAGATGCACCACTGCCCTATCTACTTATGCTTCGACCCCAGGCATAAGTGCCGACTTACATAACGTGCGAATCATTAAACTTTCACACAGAAGGGAACACATAAGAATGCTAGAAACCTTGGAAATATATAAAGCGGGGTTACGAAATAACTGCATCAACTATAAAGACGTGAGTAATATTTCTACAGCTTGGACGTTTGTCGTTGATGGGGAAGACCCCCCACAACTCTAGTTAGGGTGTTACTAACATTTCATGTGCGTGAAAAATAAGATTATTTAGATAAGATTGTTTAAATATATTTTGCGTATGCAATGCTTGATACGCATGCTCATAATGAGTTGAATATGTTCCAAAACTTTTAAATCTGTAAGCACAACGGCTTTTCAAATCTCGAAACGTTTAACCTGAAGAAGGCCGAAGAATACTGTCGAAAACGTTAGTTTTTCAAATAAATATTTTACTGGTCAAAGGTTTATTGTGAATTGATTTTTATATATATTGATTCAGTACCTGGTGAGAAGGAACCTTTATATAAAATATTTCTAAAAATTTATGTACAGTAATTAAATTTATACTTTAAATACTTATTCTCTAAATTTTCTATAATTTATGTTTTTAAGAAGCTATGAACAGTTTAATCTTTCCTTTCATATGTTTAATAACTCTGAAGGTTGAAAGACAAAATATACATCAATAGAACTTTTTATTTTTATTTATTCTTATTTTTGCTTACATTGTGTTCTTTGTCCATAAAAACAATCCATAATAATTATTGTAGTAGGCTAGATTGGGTTTGTGTGAATAGATAGTTTAATTAATGGCAAAAATTATTTTCTTATTTAAATTGTCATTAATTAAGTTCTTGCAGTTAAATATGATTGGATATTGTGTATTATTTTATTATTATTTATTTTTTATTCCAAATTTTAATTTTATCACATTCATATATTTATTTGAAAATTGTATAACAACCTTTTTAAATCTTAGTTTTAAAACTTAATTATGTTAGTTAAATTAATTGAAAATGATTAACATTTATAGAAAAACGAACACATTTATTATTGTTATGTTGCAAATGTTGTGCTCAGCTGATACTGGTGCCAAGTGCTATGCCAGACTACAGTCAAGGCATAGCTACCCAAACAATTATTATTAATTGAACTTTAATTAAAATGAAGAAAAAATAGAAAATGATGGTTATGTGAAATTGCACATTTATTATTATTATTTTTATTGAAATTTAATATTAACATTTGTTTTTGTTTTTTATTTTTATTTTTTTTTGTAATATTTTTAATAACAACAGTGAATACTAACTTCTTTATTATAAATATTTTATTTTTACTTTAATTTAATTTAATATTAATATTAGTTAATTTTATATTTTTAAAATACTGTACTATACTTACTATGAATCATATGTATGGGTTTAATGAGAATAGAAATATTATCCATTTTGTTGTACTTGACTTTTTAATAAAAATACTCTAAATAAATTCTGCATATATTTTAGTTATATTGTTTATTAAGAATACATTTAGTTTGTGAACCACAATTCTGTGTTTTAATAATAATAAATTAGTAAAGTAATGTATATTTATGTATAACATGAACTAAATTTTTTAAAAAATTTTTAGGAGGTCTTAGCAGTATATCTACAAAATTTTCCTGATAGTGCAACAGCAATTAATTTGAAAGCATGCAATCATTTCAGATTGTATAATGGAAAGGCAGCAGAAGTAAGTGTTCTTAAGTTCCTTTATTTAATTAATAAAAAAATCAATCTACATTAAAAATACAGTATACTCTCGAATATGTGTGGATTATCTGGTTTGCAGATTATCTGTGTAAGCTTGTGTTGATAAAAATTTATGTCAGGAATATAAATATTAGCATTAAAATAAAAAAAATTGTGCTTTAACTTTTGCTATTTATAATAGTATGTTGAGCATCATAACTATTTCCAGAACATCAAGGCATAAATTAAATGACTTAACAAGTACACAATTAAAGTTGATTCTTGAACAATAAGACTTTACTTATCTATATACAGTATTTTTTCTTTTTTTTTTTTCATTAAATAACTTGTAAAATTGTTTGAAGAAAATATTTTGAATCATTTTGTTATCAATAAATCATTATATCACANTCAAGGCATAAATTAAATGACTTAACAAGTATACAATTACAGTTGATTCTTGAACAATAAGACTTTACTTATCTGTATACAGTATATATATATTTTTTTCATTAAATAACTTGTAAAATTGTTTGAAGGAAAAATTTTGAATCATTTCCTTATCAATAAATCATTATATCACAGAATCAATGATATTTTATAACAATATCTAACTGGCAACTTGTCATTTTTGGTTAATAACTGTTAACTCTGTTTAAACTGGAATCACACTGTACCAAAGATTTTCCGGTTTGGCAGGATAAATAAAGTCATGCGGTTTTTTTAACATAGAAAACACAACTAAATAAAATAAAAATTGATGGTTAAATCGAAAGTTTGTTTCGTTTTTAGAGAAAAATAACATACACCATTTTGAAATAAATAAAAACTTTTAATTTACACTGTATTCACCCTTCTGTTTGATAACCTTATGCCATCTGATGGGTAGTTTCATATTTCATCTGTGTAGAATTGAGTGGGTTTCTGATTGAAGAAATTATCAATGTGATTTTTGATACCTTCTAAAGATTGAAATTCTATATCATTTAAATTCGGCAACGAACAAAAAAGATGATAATCTGAGAGAGCAATATCCAGAGAATATGGAGGGTGACTCAATGAAGATGATCCATTTTTCATCACCTGTTATTAATCGTTTTAAAAATGGATCATCTTCATTGCATTTTAAAAGTGAATCATAAACAGAAACACACTCAATAAGGTTTCATTTACTTAATTTCCCATTAAGGAGAAAATATTTTCATATATTTTCTCCTTAATGGGAAGTTTATCCAAGGATAGCAAATGTCTGACAACGAATGTTTGGGATATTTTTAAGATGTTGGCTATCTCTCGTGTTGTTCTATGCTGATCATTTTGGATTAAAGCCATTATGGACTCATCTTCTATGGTTGAGGNAATAAAAATCGATGGTTAAATCGAAAGTTTGTTTCGTTTTTAGAGAAAAATAATATACACTATTTTGAAATAAATAAAAACTTTTAATTTACACTGTACCCTTCTATTTGATAACCTTATGCCATCTGATGGATAGTTTCATATTTCATCTGTTTAGAATTGAGTGGGTTTCTGATTGAAGAAATTATCAATGTGATTTTTGATACCTTCTAAAGATTGAAATTCTATACCATTTAAATTCTGCAACGAACAAAAAAGATGATAATCTGAGAGAGCAATATCCAGATAATATGGAAGGTGACTCAATGAAGATGATCCATTTTTCATCACCTGTTATTAATCGTTTTAAAAATGGATCATCTTCATTGCGTTTTAAAAGTTAATCACAAACAGAAACACACTCAATAAGGTTTCATTTACTTAACTTCCCATTAAGGAGAAATATTTTCATATATTTTCTCCTTAATGGGAAGTTTATCCAAGGATAGCAAATATCTGACAACGGATGTTTGGGATATTTTTAAGATGTTGGCTATCTCTCGTGTTGTTCTATGCTGATCATTTTGGATTAAAGCCATTATGGACTCATCTTCTATGGTTGAGGGCTGTCCTGACCAAGGTGCATCTTCAAGAGAAAGATCTCCTGTCCTAAATTTTGCAAACCATTTCTGGCTTGTTCAATCAATAACTGCATCCACTCCACATACAACACATATCTTCTTTTGAGTTTTTGTCACATTTTTTCCTGTTCAGAAATAATAGAGCATGAGATGTTGAAACTGCACCTTCTTATCTTCCATTTTAATGGTTTTTTTTTTTTCTTGAAAGATATGGAATTTTAAAAACTAACTGTAACTAGACTTGCATATTAAATATGCAAATATTCATAATGCTGACCTAAACAAGTTAAAACTTGATAAGCACAACAGAGGAAACACAAACGAGTGGTTATGTAAATACCTGAACAAACTTTCAGTTCAACCCTATACAATAGTGCAAATTTATGAGAAAGAACACGCTTTTTTATTGCCTGTATATTTTAATTTAAGGTTGATTAAAAATGTTTTCAATTTAAATATCATTTATTATTCAACTGAAATATATTTAGCATAAATTTTAATAAAAAAATCTTTTATTTTTATAGACAGAACTGAAAAGTTTACAAGAAATGGCATCACCTTCTTTTAATTTTGCAAAAGATCTTATAAAACACAATTTAGTAAGTTCTGTTTTCTTTCTAAATGTTATAATAATTATAATTATAATATAGAACTGTTTATGCATTTTACATTTATGTGTCTTTATCATTATACAGTGTTTTACATTGGTCCCAAAACATTCCTATTACTTTTAACAGTGAAATATTTTACTTATATGATTTTCCCTTTCTGAAACAGATAATAGATATCACAACATTATTTTATAAAATGTATTTTGAATTTCTGGAAACATATTTGTTGTATTCTCACACCATTTTCCTCACATTCACAGAATTAAATGCCATAAAATTGACCCAAATAAGTTATCATCTCTCTTAGAGAGAAGATTAGCAATAAATTATTTCTTAATCAGTGTGAAACAATCACAATTTACAGAAATACTTAATATACTTCCAGTATATTGTGACTGCTTTACACTCATTCTATATAAACATATAGACAACAGCAAAAAATCATGAACAAAGACTATTCATTTAAAAAACAAATTTATTTTAGGATCTATTCCTGAAATAAACTTGTTTCATTAAATGAATATGAACTTGAATTTTATATTAAATGAATAAATGAATAATTCTGCAATGTATACAATATAATAAGATTAGACTTAACCGTACTAATATGAATTCTATATTAAGAATTGTTAAGAAATTTAGCAGTTCTTGAAGGACATTCTAAAGCTAAAAAGAAAAAGTTTGCAGTGGACAATCTTTATAAGTAGCATTTGAGTCTTCAATAGTCAAAAATCACTCTGGAATTTATTTGCTGTTTATCAGATAAATGAAATATGTCTACTTGACCATTACCACTACAAGAAAGTTATGCAATAAAAGGATATCGCTGTTTTAATTCTTTTTTATAATGAAACATAAATAAAAGATAAAAATTAAAACACTTGTTTAAAGCTGTAAAAATACAAATTTTTATGACAAATTATTAATTCTATCATCTTGTGGTGCATCTTTACCTAAATTTCAGTTATATCTTTTTTGGTCTAGTCTTTTGAGAAATACATAAATGATACTTTACTTTATAATGCATATGATTTATAAAATTTGATTATGTATTTATATAATAATAATTATTTTTTAATATAGCAATAATAATTAAAAATTTATTTTAAATATTTTGGCATATCAGTTATTACAATATATTTTTATGTGCATTAGTTTATTTTATCTTTATAGAAATTAACTCATTTTTACTAAAAATGGATAAAATTATACTTTTTCATTCCATCATTTATGATGTAATTTAAAATTGTTTTTAATTTATTGTATTCATTTGCTAAACAAAAGCAAGTAAATTTTGTAAACATTTTTCAAGTAAAAATTATATTAAATATTTTTATAATGTTTTTGTATTATTACAATTATTACAATTAAAATTAATTAATATACACTTTTTGTTATTGTAGGTTGTATTTAGAGGAGGAGAAGGTGCCTTACAAGTATTACCTCATTTGGTAGATGTGATACCAGAAGCAAGATTAAATTTAGTAATTTATTATCTTCGACAAGGTATAAAATTTAAAATAATTATTATTTTAAAAATTAACAATAAAAATATTATCTGATATTGAAATCAAAAAATTTAATGAAAATTTAGTTTTCATTAAATTTTTTGATTTCAATTTAATGAGATCTAAAACTGATTGTTATATATTTTGTTGTTTTGAAAATTATAAGATAAAGGTTATTTAAAATATTTTAAAATCTTTTCAAACATTTTCAAAATATATTACCAAAAGCCATCAATGTAATTTGAATGAGATTCTATGCTACAATCAATTATGTACTTGATGTTTTCTGTTAGCTTTATAAATGTATACAAATTTGTCAAATTTTCTGTTGAGCATATTTAATAACTGTATAATATGTAGACATGATATTTCAGCTCAGTCATTAAAACATTAAAATAAATAAAAAAATTATATAGATTGTACAGTAGAAGATCACTAATTCATTGCTACCATACCATGTAGTGGAAAATTATTTGAAATATTGCATTGTTGGATGCTTTTGTGTTTTTTGCAAAATAGATGTTTACACCAATTTATTTAGCAGTTATGGCATAAATATACATTAGGCATTGGAATATATCTGTGAAAGCATTCAACCTAACTGTGTTAGATTGAATGCTTTCACAGATTGGGTGCTGTAACAAAATCACTCAACTTTTTTGATTACTTGTAAATATTCTTGCTTTTTGTCTGGGTTGATGCTTCCTGATGCAGTCCAAAGTTGGCTGATTGCACAGACTTGTCACACCTTGTAAGTTAAGGAATGAAATGAAGTCAGAGATCAAGTTCAAAAATATACACTTTATTAGTATTGGAAATGTATTTCAGACTGTCTCTCATCAGTCCAAACAGCAAGCATAGATGACTATAAGTAGAATTTCTGGTATATACATACTGGAAATTCTGCTTATATCAGACATTTTAAACTATTATTTGCCAAATTAATGAACTACTATAATTCATGGTGTCTATAAAGTCCATGTGCATTTTTAAATATTAATAGTTTTGGAACTATACATAGTATAATTAATCTACAAAAACATTATAGGCCTGATCTATCTAGTTTTTTTCTCATTATTTCAAAAATTAATTTATTATTATTTATTTATATATATTTTTTGAAACTTCAATTGTTATTGATCTATGGACTTTTCTTTGGACAGAATGACAGATTTCAGCTTAGCCAATAAAAGGATGCAGTTTTCTTTCTCTTCTAGAGAAGTCATGGGTCAATAACAATTCTAAAAAGAAAACAGTCATTTTGAAATTTAATAAAAAAAAATAAATATTAATGGGTGAAAAGATGATGATAATCAATTTTTGAAATAATGAGAAAAAGACACATCAGACTTATAAATGTTTTTTACAGATTAATTCTATCGTGTAGTTCTACAACTAAGTATCAATATTTAAAAAGACCCTGTACACAAGTGTAATATAGTATAGTATTTATATGACAAATATATTATATTATAATTATAATTTATCGTATGGTGTTTTAATTAAAAACTAGTTTTAATGTTAACTTAATATGTAGTTGTTTACTTAATTATCAAACAGATAAATTTCATCTGAATTTATGAATATAAAATAATTGAGTTATTTGATAAAATATATGAAAATACTTTATAAAATAACTTGCATAACTATTTTAAGAAATAAGGAATTTTTTAAAATGTTAACAATGTTAAATGACTTAAAACATTACTATAGAGAAATAAAAAGATAATAATTTTAAATAAAAATTCAAAAAGTTGATTATCAAAAATTGTATTTTCATTTTATCTTTATAAATTGAAAGAAGTTTTTAGTAATTCTGCAAATAATATAAAGAAATAATATATAATTGAAACAAAACTTAACTGAAAATAAAAATTATAGTTTTATACTTATTTTATGTAATATTTATTTTGTTAAATGAAATTTTTTCTATGAACAGTTTTTCTTTTTCTTTCAGTTTTGTAATTTTGAAAGCATTATATTAGAACATTATTAAGAAATAAATGATGAATTGTATTTTTAGATGATGTACATGAAGCTTACAATTTAATTAAAGATTTGGAACCAGCTGTTCCACACGAATACATTTTAAAAGGAGTAGTAAATGCAGCTATTGGACAAGAACAAGGCTCTGTGAGTTTTTTATGACATACATTTATTGTGGTCTTTTTTTCTTTGTCATTGTTCTATTAAAATTCACATTATTATTTTATTATTTATCAATGTTTATATAAATTATTTCTTTATTGGAGGTAATATAAATTGTATTAATTAATATACTNGTAATTCTGCAAATAATATAAAGAAATAATATATAATTGAAACAAAACTTAACTGAAAATAAAAATTATAGTTTTATACTTATTTTATGTAATATTTATTTTGTTAAATGAAATTTTTTCTATGAACAGTTTTTCTTTTTCTTTCAGTTTTGTAATTTTGAAAGCATTATATTAGAACATTATTAAGAAATAAATGATGAATTGTATTTTTAGATGATGTACATGAAGCTTACAATTTAATTAAAGATTTGGAACCAGCTGTTCCACACGAATACATTTTAAAAGGAGTAGTAAATGCAGCTATTGGACAAGAACAAGGCTCTGTGAGTTTTTTATGACATACATTTATTGTGGTCTTTTTTTCTTTGTCACTGTTCTATTAAAATTCACATTATTATTTTATTATTTATCAATGTTTATATAAATTATTTTTATTCCTTACTACTTTCTTATATTATTTAGAGAGAACACTTAAAGGTTGCTCAGCAATTTTTTCAATTAGTAGGAGGATCTGCCAGCGAATGTGGTTAGGAAATTAATTTTTATACTGTAAAAAATAGTTAAAATAATCATTTTTAAGTAAAATATTAACTTAATAAAAATATTTATTATAATAATATCAGTAATTTTACAAATATACACCCACAACTGCTGTAAATGATCGGGCTATATATCGGGTTTCGTTTGTGTTTATTTATTATTAGTAATTTTACATTAGATACCATCCCAGGAAGACAGTGTATGGCATCATGTTTTTTTCTTTTGAAGCAATTTGATGATGTTTTATTATATCTAAATTCCATCAAAGTATGTTGAATTTATTTTCAGGAATTTCTTATTTTGTGTCTTTCTTATATAATGTAATATTAATCTTTTTTATAAAATTTCAGAGTTATTTTTACAATGATGACACGTTTAATTTTAATTATGCTCAAGCAAAAGCAGCTACAGGAAATTATAAAGAAGCTGAAGAAGTATATACTTTTTTATATGATTAAATTTATATTTTTAAAATTCTCAAATATTGAAATTAATTTTCCAGATTTTTTCTCTAATTCAAAATGAGAAAATCAAAAATGATTATGTTTATTTAAGTTGGCTAGCCAGATGTTGTAAGTTAAAATTATTATTATTCATTATGCTATTTTCTTATATTGTTTAAAATACAGTGGGTGATCGGTTAACGAACAAATTGGATAACAAACACTTTCGTGAAAGATTTTTGTGTTTGGACAACAAACACCTCACAGAACAAACACAAGAAGAAGCAACATAAAATAATGAATACCAATTGGTCTTCCTTTGTTTTAAGGCAACAATTCAAAACTTTTCGGAGCGTGGGAGACGTCGACTTTGACATTCAACCCAGTATATACTGATCGGATAGTATTCCCCCAAACTTTGAAACTTTTCCTTGTAATTCTAGCCTTTTATTTTTCTGACAGAAACAATTCTTTTACGTTTTCTTCTGAAAATGTGGATTTATGCCACTATCTGCTATTAATGATCTTTTGAAGAAGTGGGAGGATGTCACAACAATGATCTTAAAATGGTATCCAAACCAGGTTGAGGTTAATAGGCCTAGGGATCTCTACAATTACAATGCTATTAATTACTTCTTAAAAATCCTGAAGAAGACAGAAAAGCAATTGACATTGGACAGATTCTTTAATGCCCCACAAACAGAAAAAACATGACTGATAAAAATGCGAGACTGTGTATATATGTATTTTTATTATTACATATAAATAAACATAGTAAGAAAGTATATAATTTTTTNTCTCACACCATTTTCCTCACATTCACAGAATTAAATGCCATAAAATTGACCCAAATAAGTTATCATCTCTCTTAGAGAGAAGATTAGCAATAAATTATTTCTTAATCAGTGTGAAACAATCACAATTTACAGAAATACTTAATATACTTCCAGTATATTGTGACTGCTTTACACTCATTCTATATAAACATATAGACAACAGCAAAAAATCATGAACAAAGACTATTCATTTAAAAAACAAATTTATTTTAGGATCTATTCCTGAAATAAACTTGTTTCATTAAATGAATATGAACTTGAATTTTATATTAAATGAATAAATGAATAATTCTGCAATGTATACAATATAATAAGATTAGACTTAACCGTACTAATATGAATTCTATATTAAGAATTGTTAAGAAATTTAGCAGTTCTTGAAGGACATTCTAAAGCTAAAAAGAAAAAGTTTGCAGTGGACAATCTTTATAAGTAGCATTTGAGTCTTCAATAGTCAAAAATCACTCTGGAATTTATTTGCTGTTTATCAGATAAATGAAATATGTCTACTTGACCATTACCACTACAAAAAAGTTATGCAATAAAAGGATATCGCTGTTTTAATTCTTTTTTATAATGAAACATAAATAAAAGATAAAAATTAAAACACTTGTTTAAAGCTGTAAAAATACAAATTTTTATGACAAATTATTAATTCTTATCATCTTGTGGTGCATCTTTACTTAAATTTCAGTTATATCTTTTTTGGTCTAGTCTTTTGAGAAATACATAAATGATACTTTATAATGCATATGATTTATAAAATTTGATTATGTATTTATATAATAATAATTATTTTTTAATATAGCAATAATAATTAAAAATTTATTTTAAATATTTTGGCATATCAGTTATTACAATATATTTTTATGTGCATTAGTTTATTTTATCTTTATAGAAATTAACTCATTTTTACTAAAAATGGATAAAATTATACTTTTTCATTCCATCATTTATGATGTAATTTAAAATTGTTTTTAATTTATTGTATTCATTTGCTAAACAAAAGCAAGTAAATTTTGTAAACATTTTTCAAGTAAAAATTATATTAAATATTTTTATAATGTTTTTGTATTATTACAATTAAAATTAATTAATATACACTTTTTGTTATTGTAGGTTGTATTTAGAGGAGGAGAAGGTGCCTTACAAGTATTACCTCATTTGGTAGATGTGATACCAGAAGCAAGATTAAATTTAGTAATTTATTATCTTCGACAAGGTATAAAATTTAAAATAATTATTATTTTAAAAATTAACAATAAAAATATTATCTGATATTGAAATCAAAAAATTTAATGAAAATTTAGTTTTCATTAAATTTTTTGATTTCAATTTAATGAGATCTAAAACTGATTGTTATATATTTTGTTGTTTTGAAAATTATAAGATAAAGGTTATTTAAAATATTTTAAAATCTTTTCAAACATTTTCAAAATATATTACCAAAAGCCATCAATGTAATTTGAATGAGATTCTATGCTACAATCAATTATGTACTTGATGTTTTCTGTTAGCTTTATAAATGTATACAAATTTGTCAAATTTTCTGTTGAGCATATTTAATAACTGTATAATATGTAGACATGATATTTCAGCTCAGTCATTAAAACATTAAAATAAATAAAAAAATTATATAGATTGTACAGTAGAAGATCACTAATTCATTGCTACCATACCATGTAGTGGAAAATTATTTGAAATATTGCATTGTTGGATGCTTTTGTGTTTTTTGCAAAATAGATGTTTACACCAATTTATTTAGCAGTTATGGCATAAATATACATTAGGCATTGGAATATATCTGTGAAAGCATTCAACCTAACTGTGTTAGATTGAATGCTTTCACAGATTGGGTGCTGTAACAAAATCACTCAACTTTTTTGATTACTTGTAAATATTCTTGCTTTTTGTCTGGGTTGATGCTTCCTGATGCAGTCCAAAGTTGGCTGATTGCACAGACTTCTCACACCTTGTAAGTTAAGGAATGAAATGAAGTCAGAGATCAAGTTCAAAAATATACACTTTATTAGTATTGGAAATGTATTTCAGACTGTCTCTCATCAGTCCAAACAGCAAGCATAGATGACTATAAGTAGAATTTCTGGTATATACATACTGGAAATTCTGCTTATATCAGACATTTTAAACTATTATTTGCCAAATTAATGAACTACTATAATTCATGGTGTCTATAAAGTCCATGTGCATTTTTAAATATTAATAGTTTTGGAACTATACATAGTATAATTAATCTACAAAAACATTATAGGCCTGATCTATCTAGTTTTTTTCTCATTATTTCAAAAATTAATTTATTATTATTTATTTATATATATTTTTTGAAACTTCAATTGTTATTGATCTATGGACTTTTCTTTGGACAGAATGACAGATTTCAGCTTAGCCAACAAAAGGATGCAGTTTTCTTTCTCTTCTAGAGAAGTCATGGGTCAATAACAATTCTAAAAAGAAAACAGTCATTTTGAAATTTAATAAAAAAAAATAAATATTAATGGGTGAAAAGATGATGATAATCAATTTTTGAAATAATGAGAAAAAGACACATCAGACTTATAAATGTTTTTTACAGATTAATTCTATCGTGTAGTTCTACAACTAAGTATCAATATTTAAAAAGACCCTGTACACAAGTGTAATATAGTATAGTATTTATATGACAAATATATTATATTATAATTATAATTTATCGTATGGTGTTTTAATTAAAAACTAGTTTTAATGTTAACTTAATATGTAGTTGTTTACTTAATTATCAAACAGATAAATTTCATCTGAATTTATGAATATAAAATAATTGAGTTATTTGATAAAATATATGAAAATACTTTATAAAATAACTTGCATAACTATTTTAAGAAATAAGGAATTTTTTAAAATGTTAACAATGTTAAATGACTTAAAACATTACTATAGAGAAATAAAAAGATAATAATTTTAAATAAAAATTCAAAAAGTTGATTATCAAAAATTGTATTTTCATTTTATCTTTCTAAATTGAAAGAAGTTTTTAGTAATTCTGCAAATAATATAAAGAAATAATATATAATTGAAACAAAACTTAACTGAAAATAAAAATTATAGTTTTATACTTATTTTATGTAATATTTATTTTGTTAAATGAAATTTTTTCTATGAACAGTTTTTCTTTTTCTTTCAGTTTTGTAATTTTGAAAGCATTATATTAGAACATTATTAAGAAATAAATGATGAATTGTATTTTTAGATGATGTACATGAAGCTTACAATTTAATTAAAGATTTGGAACCAGCTGTTCCACACGAATACATTTTAAAAGGAGTAGTAAATGCAGCTATTGGACAAGAACAAGGCTCTGTGAGTTTTTTATGACATACATTTATTGTGGTCTTTTTTTCTTTGTCATTGTTCTATTAAAATTCACATTATTATTTTATTATTTATCAATGTTTATATAAATTATTTTTATTCCTTACTACTTTCTTATATTATTTAGAGAGAACACTTAAAGGTTGCTCAGCAATTTTTTCAATTAGTAGGAGGATCTGCCAGCGAATGTGGTTAGGAAATTAATTTTTATACTGTAAAAAATAGTTAAAATAATCATTTTTAAGTAAAATATTAACTTAATAAAAATATTTATTATAATAATATCAGTAATTTTACAAATATACACCCACAACTGCTGTAAATGATCGGGCTATATATCGGGTTTCGTTTGTGTTTATTTATTATTAGTAATTTTACATTAGATACCATCCCAGGAAGACAGTGTATGGCATCATGTTTTTTTCTTTTGAAGCAATTTGATGATGTTTTATTATATCTAAATTCCATCAAAGTATGTTGAATTTATTTTCAGGAATTTCTTATTTTGTGTCTTTCTTATATAATGTAATATTAATCTTTTTTATAAAATTTCAGAGTTATTTTTACAATGATGACACGTTTAATTTTAATTATGCTCAAGCAAAAGCAGCTACAGGAAATTATAAAGAAGCTGAAGAAGTATATACTTTTTTATATGATTAAATTTATATTTTTAAAATTCTCAAATATTGAAATTAATTTTCCAGATTTTTTCTCTAATTCAAAATGAGAAAATCAAAAATGATTATGTTTATTTAAGTTGGCTAGCCAGATGTTGTAAGTTAAAATTATTATTATTCATTATGCTATTTTCTTATATTGTTTAAAATACAGTGGGTGATCGGTTAACGAACAAATTGGATAACAAACACTTTCGTNCACCGTTTGAAAATATCAAAAATTAGGCATCTTCCCCCGCTAACCATCTTACCCCGAATCACTCTATGCGTTGCAGTCAAACCAGTTTTTAGTTAGGATGCGTTTTAACTAGTAAAAACGAGTTTATACTGGATGTGTTTCTTAAAATTCGTTTTGTCTAGTTAAAACTAGAATTTACTGCTAGTCAAAAACGAATTTGAGTTAAAACTAGCTTTAACTAGACAAAACGGGTTTTAACAAAGACATTCAGTATAAACTAGTTTCAACTAGTTAAAACGCGTTCTAACTAAAAACGGGTTTTGACTGTAACATATATAAATACTTGTCTTACATGTGGTAAACATTAATATTTGTGTTTTTGTATATAGAAATGGAAGGTTAAAATGTTTTATGCTTTATATAATATATTTTTAATATTTGTTCATTTGTTCATTAACTTTTATTTCAATATTTATAATATAAGTATTATAATTTTAAATTTATATTACTTTATACATGTTGTTATTACCTATTTCAGTATCAGTAATTCATGATCATGATATTTAATTTAATAAGATAAGAGACATTTAACATCAATGAAATCAATCAAAATATAGTTCTAAATACTGTCTTTCAATGTTTAAAAATTGTTTCATTTTCAAGAAAATAAAATAAACACAAAAATACAAATAAACTTTGCTTGGTAGTGAGTACTTTTGATAAATTAATATTATCTTTAGTTTAAAACTGGCAGATTAGAACGACAAAATATCTGTTCTGTTCTACCAGTTATAGATTTTATAACAAATGCATCTTTGGAAGAATTGCAAAATGTATTTGCAAACAGTATTATTTCTTTTTGCTAATAAAAATATAAAATTCAAACAGAGAAATACAGATACAATATTCTAGCAAATATCAAAGCAAATAAATAAATATGCTTGAAATCTGCAGGAAATAATAAATTTTAATCTTTTTATAACTTTGATTATAACTTTTTAAAATTTTATTAGCATATTTATACTTGGTTTAAATTTCTTATGTTTAAAATGTCATTTGCATTTGGTTAAAATAATCTGCTTAGAGTAAGAAAATTTTCTTAGAACACTGTATAAATCTGATACAAATAAAACGTTTATAATAATCTTTATATGAACTTATTCTTTTAATAAATTAATAATCAATGGCATCCATTAAAATTAATTGCTAATTTATTAAAAGAATAAGTTCATATAAAAATTATTATTTTTTCTTTTGATAATTTATTTTTATTAAAAGAAAAAGATGATGTTAGTTTAATATAAATATTTGATAATTAAAAATTTTACAAATTAAAATATTGATATCAGGGGAAATAAACAATTAAAATATTACAATTGGAATATATTGTAGCAAAGATGTAAGTGGTGTATCTATTCAAAAAGTCCTCTGTGATAAACTTTGATCATTGAAGCAATAGAAGTATTATTTATTTGTACTTGGATAAAAAAGCATACTAGCAACATTCACTCACACAAGCTGCTTATTTCAGATGTTGATAGGTGATAGGGGATTGTGAGATGTACAGTACAAGTATATGTAGTGGTGATGGTCATGGTGTTTATGTTGCAGTGGGTATTGGCTCAAAGTGCAGTAGAAAAGTGCAAGCACCTAAAACATATATATATATTAAAGTAGAGCAATGTTCATGGATAAAAATCAAGATGGCATGAGATTATAATGCTTAAGAATGTTTTTAGGAACTGTGTGAAGCATGTGACAACATAGCATTTCCATATCAGTTAGTGGCACATTGAGTGCAGTCATTCTGCAAACACAGGCAAAGCCATTTAGAACACATGTTAGGACACATTTAGGATCAGAGGTCCTGTACATTGGGGCACTTGTGGTATGTTTCCCTTTTGTCGTTGGGTTGCCCTTTTCTTAATCTCCAAGGAGATCTAAGGTTTCATTTTATTTTTAATTAGCTGCATTTAATCAAGGAATACCTGTATATATAACATCTGACTTTCTCAGAGGTAAGAGTATGCCACAGAATAGTGCTAAACATATTTCATGATATGAATGGAAGCATTACTTCTTTACTGCACACAAATAAGGATGTCTGAAAGTGATGTTTATTGATGTTTACTATCTACTGCTGAGGTAAAGAGTGACATTTTGTCACTCTTTACCTCAGCAGTAGATAGTAAATGCTGAATATTAATTCAGTTTCTTGAAGAATCATCTTTGTCCATCACAGGAGAAAATGATCACACCTGTTTCCAACAGATATGCTTTCCCATTATGCTTCATGGCAATGCAAGGTGTCATAATCCTATCTCTGCCAAATATCTTTACTACTGGAAATGGGATATACTGGAACACCCTCCTTGCTCCCCTGATATGAGCTTGTGTGATTACAACCTTTTCTCAAAAATAAAAGATCCATTACAAGAGAAATGTTATCATACCAGAGATGAGATTATTCATGCTATGGGTGGTCAGTACAGGACAGCAACAGAAATGGTCATGCTGACATTTTATGTGCCTTTCACAAGTATGAGTGAAGTGATAGACAAGTGGGGAGAATACATTGAAAGCTGTAAGTGGTTTTGGTTCTGTTAGGAAAGTCATTTGAAAACAGTAGACATGTTTGTATTTTTTTTTTTATTCAAAACATTAATTAAAAATATTAGTTTCATTTTAAATGTATCTATTATCTATTTAAATTATTTTAATTTTAATATGATTTTAATATTATTTTTATGTAATATATCAGAATTATGTTTCTTAGAGAATTTTATTCATTACAATACTATTTATTGTGTATAATTATTAAGATCTATGAAATTATTCCTTTTTGTCTTACAGTTTATTTAGTTATGAGTCTAACAAAATGATTTAAATTCTGAATGTATTGATAATTGATAACTTTTGTCTGTACTGAATCTGTATTAATAATTAATTGTACAATTTCATAAAAGTGATAAACACAACATAATTAAACTTGCTCATATAAAATATCTAACGTTCAATCACAATATATTTAAAGAATAATGTAATCTGAGAGTTATTTTCTAATATTTATCATGTTATATTTAATTATTTTCATGTTAAAAATAAATAAGAAAAGATAATTATGTGAATATTAATATGAAAGTAATATAATATTCATATTATACAGGAGTTATATCATTTCAATAAGGTTTATCTTTATAATTAAAGAAAGCATTTATGATTTTTATAATGGATATTTAATAATTTCTTTAATTATTCATACAATATATTGAATAGAGTATTTGTTACAATGAACAAATTTACTATTACTTATTAAGCATTAACACATTGATTATTTATTTATAATTTTTAATTTAAATATTTTAAAGAATTTCTTTGTCTAATTATATAATTCTAAAAGTTTGTGCAAATATACAAATATTTAAAATTTTTAATTAATACATATTTTACTTTTTTAGATTGATATTAATAAAGTTTGCGTAATATGCATATTAATAATCATATAGCTAGCTATTCTTTTAATATTTATTTTTAGCATTGATAGAAATTAGTATATGATATGATAAATGACTAATTATCAAATTATACTGTTAAATTAACTTTAGATCTATTATGAATAAATGTTAGATATATTATAAATTTACTTATGTAAATTGTATAAGTCGGTTTAAATGCTTTTCACATTTATGAAATTTCTACAATGAATCATTAATATAGATTCACTGGATACAGATGAGATTAATTGATAAATTTATGAAGTTATTTTNAAAAATATAGTAAAATATTTAATAAATTTTTTATTTATTAAATTTATTTATAAAATATTAAATAAATAAAAAAAATTTATTCAATTATTATTAAAACACACAGCTTATATATTATAAATACTTAAAATCCACGTTAAGAGATTAAAAATTTTACTTAATTGTTAAAAACTTTATTTTCTGCTTACTTATTTACAGTGGAATAGATAGTTATTGGAAGTATTTACCTTAATCTATGTCATAATAATTTTTTTCACATTATTAAGCATCTTTTTAGTTAAAATTATTTGAAAAAATACATTAATTTAAATATTTAGACCTGCTTTCTGATAATATTATTAAACATTTTACTTATTAATATGAAGCCAGTTTGATTTACAATAATCAGCAAAAAATTACTGTAAAATGAAAATAAATTTTGAAATGAAATGATTTTTTTTCCCTATTATTTAACTCTTGAAATAAGTGATAATTTCATATTAAATATAATGTACAAATTTCATTATGAAATGTTTTTCAATTAGATATAATGAATAAAAAATCAAGATTGGCATGGGAATTGTATCTGAAAATGGAAACTTCTGCAGAATCGTTCAGTCTCCTTCAACTAATTGCCAATGATTGTTATAAGGTAAAATTAAATTTCAGATAAGGCTTTATTTTAATGGCTCGGTGCCAGCTGTCTTTATCTCTTATTTAATTTGTTTAATTTTCTATAGATGAAAAGTGTACCTAAGTCTAGCAGTAATTAGAAGAATAATGCAAATGTTCAATATATTAATATCAAAGTTACAAAAGCACTTACTGTTTATGTAACTTTTAAGTAGCTTTAATTGTTATCTATTAATGTGTTTTGTTAACTTGGGGTTTTTAAATCTGTATAGTATACAAATCTGTAACAGTATAGTTTTTAAAGTTATATATATTACAAGTTTCAGCAGAAACTGTTGTTTTTGATTCTTATTTATTTATCTTAATTGATAGGTTGGTCAGTTTTTTTACGCTGCTAAGGCATTTGATATTTTAGAAAAAATGGATCCAAATCCAGAATATTGGGAGGGTAAGAGAGGAGCTTGTATTGGAGTTCTTCAAATGATCATTGCAGGAAATGAACCAAAGTAAGTTTTTATATTTTCATTAAATAAGCACAAAGTTTTTCAAATAAATTATTTAATGTTTACTTCTTAATTGCTTAATATTAATTTTTATTTCAACATAAATCATATTTAAAAAATTAAATTTGTACATACAGAAAATAATTAAAGAATCCATTAATAATTAATACATCTGCAAGACTGATTCTGTTGAAATTAGATTATAAATAATTCTGATTAAATTTTAATACTTAGTTGAGAGAGAGTAGATTATTTAATTTGCATATAAACTTTTTAGAAGTTTTATTACTAAATAAAATTTGTTTTTATTACCTTATAACTTATTTCAAACTTTAGTTTGTAAAGAAACATTCAATTTACGTCTTATCTGTTAATTACAGAAAATAGTCTAAGAGTTTGCAATTACTTAATGTATAAAATTTTAGGGAATCAATACACGAAGTTTTACAAATACTACGTAACACTTCTAATCCTCAAGTCGAGAACATTGTCCGAGCCATGAAAAACTGGGCCAAAGAAAATAGAGTTCCACTTTAAGGTGAGAAATTTTATTATCTATAATTTTTAAAATTATGTAAATAATAGGGTTTTATTAAATAAATTTTAATGTAATTTTGAAAATACTAAACAAAGTTTATTTATAAGATAATTATAACATTTAATTAAATTGTGTATTTTGATATATTTAAATTTAATGTTGTCCTTACAATTCTCAAATTAATTCTATCTTATCTCTCTCAGGTATTAATTTCTTTAAACAATAGAATGAACTGTTTAATTATTTAATGAATAGCAGCTGTTTTACTTTAGGAACATAATATAATTCATTTATTTTACCTTTACTAATTGTGGCTATTCATATTTGCATGAAAAATTATAATCAATTTTTTCAGTTTTTAAAATATATTAATAAATCGAAATTTTATCTTAAAATTTTTAAAATATAGATTATTAATAAAAATTTTTATATTATATTACAGATCTTGAAAAGGCGGGAAGTTTTGGCTTTTCCATCCATTTAAGAGTATGCATTCCATTCATTATTTTAATAAAAATATCAAGAGCACATTATTTTAATAATCTGATTGGAATCTAAGCATTCCATTGTACTAGGAACTGCAATTACATCTTAAAGAATTGTAAATTTTCCACTTGTTCTAGTCATATCCACACAATCTAATTCTAGAGATTTTTAAAGGTTAAACATTTTGTAAATCATCAAAATGGAGTTGATGAATTATAAATTATTTAATCTGAAAATATATATTTAAAAGAAAATTTTGAATTTCTTTTGTTTTTAAAGAACTGTAAATAACGAAGTTTAATAAAAGAAAAGAAAAAAAAACAGACAACTGTTTGCATGGTGATTACTTTATTAAGTAGATTAGGAAGTATTAAAGTGAAAGGTAATCTTTGTGCAGGAAGTCAATTTTTTTGAACAAGCCCAATTAATTGATATTTGAATAAAACAAAAGAAAGGTAATTTTGTTTGTGAGTGAAAATTAAATTACTTTTCTAATATTTTGTATATTTTACAATTAAATTAGTTTAAATTAGTTATCGCTAACATTTTAAACAATTTTTTTAGGCTAATTAAAAACAAAGCAAACGTTGAGTTTTGTGTGAAATGTTGTTCTGGGATTATAACTTTTTTTAATTCTTGTTGATGATTTCTTTTGCATTTTTTATTGTAGAGATTTGCAATCTTTTTTCTCTGGTGTATTTGTTTTTACCAAGTCACAAATTAAATTGATTAATCTAAAATAAAAGGCTTTTTTCCTTTTCTTCTTTTTCCTGGTAACTATATAACACTTTTGTTAAATTTTAGTCTTCATAAATTATACTTTATTGTCACTACTACATTTATTTGTAAAAACAAAATTTTATTTTTTCTACACTGCTGTAATTTAAGTATAAAAGTATAACATGTTTATAAAATTTGATTTTATTTTTAGTAAATTGTTAAGTTACATTATTAATATTTTTATTTTGAATTATCTACACAAAATCACAAAATGTACTTTCAAATTTGTTGAAACTCTTATGAAATATTTTATGCTAATATATATTTAAAATTATAAAACTAATAAATCAGAATAATAATTGTGCATATTCATTATCAGAAAATATAAAAGTTAAGGAATATTTAAAACCTTCAGCTGATTAAATCTATTTTTGAAGACGATTTCTCTAAGATAATCAGTGTGCAATGAACTTTCACAGGTTTGATATAGAATTTAGTAAATAATCTAAAAATGCCTTATAATATGTCTACATTTTATGCAAAAACTGCAAGCCATTAACATTTTATACATATAAAAACATTCTCGGTGTACCGCCAAAACTTTAAAATTCTGAAGTTCGACACTAGCTTGATAAAGTTGAGAATCTGCTGTAGTTTAACATAATATACTGTACACCTATATACATATCATGCGCATGTAGTTACATACTGTACGCATGTAATGTTTCCTGAAATTATAAAACTTCTAATTACACTATCAGTAACCTAATTGTCGGTATACCCTAGTGTACAGTGAATTTAATATATACCTGAACTACAAAGACTATTAGCAATTGAAATTAAACTTTAATTTGCTTACATACTATAGATAATATATGTTAATAAACTACACTATAAAAATATTCAAAAGCTATACAAGTATATGAATGTATATATGTATAATACATCATTCAGTTTGCTATTAATTCTTAACAATTATGTCATAATATGATTTTCCAAATTGAATTATGCCTTCAAAATAACTTTATTTAATTAACTCCATCTGTTAAGTTTGATAATGATATTGGATACTGTTTATCTAAGGTTAACTAAACATCATATTTAGAAAAAAAGATATTCATTGTATAATGTTATGAATATGGTTAAAGATAATTACATAAAATAATTGAATTAATATTACTTCTGATGAGAAATAATATAGATTAAAATGATCTGCGTTATTGAATTTATCTTAAATATTAATTTATTAAATTATAAAATTTTCGATCGGAGATCATTAAATTTACACCAATGAAAGAATTTTAATGTTTTAGAAATCATTTTAAAGCATTAAAAATCATTTTTTAAAGCTTCCAAATTGTTTATTTATAGAAAAAAGTGGCCCAAAAATCGGTTGCCCAACAGTAGGGGCGTGGATAACATCACAGAAACAATGAATAGTTGGTCGCAGTTTCGCGCACGACCAACGGATTGGCTGCGTTTTTCCGGGTTTATTCACGTGCCTAATACCTAAATAGGTGCCAGCTTCCTATAGAAAGTCCTCCCTCCTTGGCAGATTATCCACGTGTTGCGTTACCTTAGCCCATCAATCCATTCATCCATCCAATCTAAAAGAGATTTTTTAAAAAAATTGCTTCCATTAAACGAAATAATCGAACCATACTCGGTTAACTAACTTTCGGGCTACGCTGTACAACGTGTAATTTCTTGTAACATTTTGCTAAATCTTTTGTTTCCGTACTGTAAAAAGTTAAACATTGTATCAATATTTCCTATTTAGTTATTACACAGAAAGATTTACACGATGATTGATAATAAATTGGCAGGAGATCGATTAGAAGATAAGCCAATATTAAACTCTGAACTATCGACGTAGAGGAAAATATCGGTAGAATTCAATTATCTTCGATAGTGATGTATGGTATTTTGATTTCTAAACTTAGAACGAAACAAACATTTCCGGAAGAGCAGTTCCAGATCGAGTAATATTTCATGTCGAACGTATTTAATCTATCAAAATTAATGGCAACAATGCATAATTACAAAGAAAATTCTCGAGAATAAATTTAACGTTATATCGAGTTTATATTCATAATAAGGCCTTCTTGATTTAATTATGTTTGTCTATGATCATAACTTTAAAAGTTAATATCGAAGAGGAGGACGTTAGTTTGCCTTCATTAATATGCAAGTACATGGCGCAAAGGTTTACTTAAAGTAACACTAGTTAACAATATATTTGGTGTAACTTGTTACTCGTTTTGTCTAACTCTTATCCGGTTGATCGTACGTAAAATTCTCTTCGAAGACACACTGGAGTAAATCCATTCTTATCTGAAACCAAGATTGTTACTCCTTCAACCCAATCAATACAATCGTTTCCCAGTGTGAATTTCCATCGGTTGCGAGTCTACATTCCTAGTAATGAATTTTTCTGTACTTCTTTTTTGTAAATATTCACTTCTATATGATATATTTCTAGTCGAACATTTTCAATTCGTCCCACATTTCCTGCACTATCAAAAATTCATCTCGGAGGCGAGAGGAGGAGTCTACTTTTACGTCTTTTAGGCCCTGTGTACGTTAAGGAAAAAGCAAAACAGTGTTTAAAAATTGTATTAGATTTACTTGAGAGCAATTACTAATGTGAGGCCCTGTTTAATGTCACGAAGCCCCACAAAGAAAATATATTTTACGTTTATTAATTAAACGGACCCCTCTACATCCACCACTGTTATAAGATCTGGTTATAAGAATATAATTCCGATAGGTTTTTTATACGTCCCCATTCGTTGCTCCTTTTTATTCCTTTATAAAGTGTTCCCTCGATATAAAGTGTTTTTAAGTGTAATGTTCCGAATGCGACAATGGAAAAACCTTGAAGCAACTCAAATCGATGTTGAATATTTTATTAGATTTGCAAAATATAAAATATAGAATTGTTAAATCACAACATCCATTTTAATAAATAAAAATAAAATGAATTAAATTGCAAATTCGTTCAAAATTTACGCTCTAGTTAATCAGATTCTCATCAATGTCTCAATTATGTTTGTTTATTTCTTTTTTCTCCTCGCATGAAATTTAGTTTGGAAAATTTGGACTCGATCAGCATTTCTTTTCGAACTTTATCGATTTTGTTAGAGTCGAACGGAGTAAAAGTTAATGGTTCACATTTTTAATATATCCTAAGACCATTACTTATCGAAATATATTTTAGTTTCAGTCCACAGTTTTAAAAGATATTCGAATATCAGAAAGAACTTTAAAATTAGGAGCAAAAGGATCGTTTAGAAAAACTCTATTTGAATTAATCCAGTTTATTTTGAAATTTTATTTAAAAAATATATATATATATAATAATAATTGAAGTTATACAGAAAAAATGAAGAAAGGTTAATTGGAAAATCAAACATCAACGTGGGATTAGTTTTGTATATTTTTTTTATATCATGATAGAAAGAAACACCTCTCGAGTCGAGAGAGGCCCGAATTTTTGAGGCTTCCGTATGTTAAAAATAGCAATTATTTATTATGACATGGTCACAATGTCGGGCTGCAATTTTTCGTCACAATGCTCTCAATTTTAGTAGTGTCTTGCCCCTGTACATCATACTTTTCCTGTTAACATTTGAGTCGTGCAGGTCAGAAAATTCAGAAATCGGAAATTTTATATATTTAATCGGGGCCTCCTGCCCATAACCTTTCCATATCTGGTCTCGACTTTCATCTAACATCGTTGAAATGAAATAATTTATGATTAATGCTTTGAAATCCCTTAAATATGATGCCCAGTCCGAATAACCCTGCTGAATCCCCTTCCTGCGATAGGACACGATTGACATTAGCAATTGATTTTCTATTTATATGTTAACTTTAGAAGTAAGTCCTCTATTTCCCGGACTTGTTTACTCGAACGTAAAACTACAAACGAAATTGAAATTCCCCTTAAGCTTAAATTAGTAATTAACCGTATAAACTANCGGACTTGTTTACTCGAACGTAAAACTACAAACGAAATTGAAATTCTTATGTATTTTGTATTATACGTCCCTTTACGATTTGGTTATATTATAACTAATGAATAAATTTAAAATGTTTTTTAACGGCATGTTAATATTTAAATGGAAAAAAAATTGATTGGAAGAATTATATTTTATTATTTCAATTTATTTTATTAAAAAAAATAAATAAAAACATTTCGACATTTTATATAAGAGAAAAAATTCCAAATAAAATTCTCTTATGATCTATTATTATTATTATTATAAAAATCTACGATTTCAAATTGTAATTTTATATTTTTAGATTCTAAAAATATTCCAATGGATTTATATGTGAAAAATTTCGTATACCCAGGCTTGTGTCATGCATTATTGAGGGTCCAATTTCTTTAGATTGAATTATACAGGACAAAGATAATAGTAATGAAGGCGAGGCCCGGAGGGAACAAAAGAAACAAATTGTCCCGCTCTCCGAGGAAGTAGGACCATATATGATGTCGATAAATAAGAAAGAGTATTTGGAAATATTAGTTATTAGTTAAATTAGTTTATTAGGCTGCAATTTTCAAAAATTGTCTGCCTTAAGCTTTCCGTATTTGGTCTCGACTTTCATCTATCTAACTCCGTTCTCAATTTAGATGAAAGTCGAGACCAAATACGGAAAGCTTAGGGACATAAAGCCCAATTACT